TGTATAGAAAAACGTCTATAAGTCCGCTAATATATTATATAACCTCTAAATTCATTTTAAACATAAAAATGTCCATAATTATAGTTTAGCCATCTACGTTTAAAAGTCACGATAAATTAATTTTTAACATGTGCCAAGAGTATACAAATATTAGGGTTTTTCCAGACAATTTGAATAATGTCAAATATGTGTAACGGCGAAATGCGGAAAAATAATAAAAATTTTAACCTAACCTGTACCTTAATTATCAAAAAGCACAACAGTTGCGTAGCAATATTATTAATGATCAGACAATGTATAATCAATGTAATAAAATATGTAAATAAATAATCTAGTTGACGTAAGTTTAAATAAGTTGATGGTTAATACCCACGTATCTCGATTAAATTCTTTATTTTTTATATTATATTGATAAAAGGTCCAGAAGTGTCCAAGTTAGTGTGCAAAGGTTTTATTTATTTTGTAGCGCTATTTTATCTTTAATCAGAGAGCTATTAAATCCCGAATTAAAGGTGTATGTGTAGCTGATGAGAATCTCTACCACTTTAAGAAGTCTGAAGCTTGTGACCACAAGATAGATCGCTCCAACCATTCTAAAACATTTTAAATAATAGTCGATATCTTAGAATCAATTTCCATTTAGCATTCATTTGGCGTTAAAAGTAATTAAAAAGGTGGAAATATTTTCAAATCATTACATAAACATTCGTGTTTCAACTCATATTGACTTAATTTTTTAACGTACGTAAATAACAATTTAATACTGCCGTGCATTTTTATATACGTTTATTCTATATAGAAGCATTACACTTATGTATTGATTGTGAAAATATTACTACAGGTCCGGAAAAAAGCCTGACCTGGAAGAACCAGCGAAATAACCTCAGCGGGACAGTTTTTTTAAAACATAATTTTACAAAACAACATGTTTACAATATATTTAATTCCACTTGAAAGAGCCTGGATCGATCAATTCCTTTCTGTGTTAATTTATGTGTTATCATATAATCACTAATATTATCGACTTTAACACACAAATGTTCCTTTACGACCCACATTTCTTTACCTAAAAATGTTTAGAATAAATTACATTCTATTACATACCTGGCATATTATGACCACAGCCTAATTAATGTACCTACTTTGTTCCATAACTTAGCCTTCAAATTTGTGAAAATGTCCGCGATACAAAAATTGCACAATTAAAAACCTTTTAAATCCTGTACCATACAACCTGGTAGTAAATGGCAGTTTAATGGTAGTTCACAAGTTTCATTATTTCAATAAAACAGATGACATTATAATCAGTATTTTCATATAACTTGTATATAAAACGCCTTCCTAAATTGTGTAGCAAAGTAATGTTGATGATAATTTTAGCAAAAACAACGACTACAGGCGTTCTCTTGAATATTGTAAACTAGTACATACTTCTACTTACATAATTATCTAAACATATTCTTATTAGTTATATACAAAGAAGTATTTTCATTAAAAGAAAAAATATTTCTTATGACAGTTGCTCTTCATATACACTAGAGTTAGATACTAATGACGAGAGAGAATATACTAAATCTTATTATTACAAACGAAGATATTTAAGAATTCGTTAAAAAACTGTCAGAGTTCGGTGTTCCAATAGGTATAAAAAATTTAATTACTGTGTCAATCTAACATTTCTATTTTAAAGGCTAACCCATAACCAAGCCACTGAATTACTATCATTATTGTGCCTAATAAGCCGTAATGTGACAGAGCGTCGCGCCATAAAGGTCACTGAACTGAGTAACCCAAAAACTGGAAAATGGCCGACGCAGTGGTGACATTATTTGCCCTTTGTGCTCTGAAAGCTTTGATGTAAATACAAGTTGCCTGTTGTTCATTATTCATATGGCCACAGTCTATCATGAAGGAGTGTCGATAAGGGAATACGACAAACGAGAATTCAATTCAATTAGGTAGAAATTACTTCAATACTGTAATTAATCTTTAAGTGATATTAAAAAGTATACAGTAGCGATTGTTACTTGGTATTAGTCTAGTTTAGTTAATAATTATATCCATCCCCGCTGCAATTGCTTGTGCTACTTTTAACGGTTAGAAAGTTACATTCACAAAATACATTTTTTCACGCATTGAAAACACGGTGCATGTACATGCATTTGACAACATGCAACAAATGCAGGGATAAATGAATATTATTCATAGTGTATTTATACTTATACTTTTTTTTTAAATGTTGCCCTTACAGTAGGATAACATTAGCTTATCGTAAGGACGTTTTACATACATAAATTACACGCGGACAAACAACCAGATCCGAAACAATTATGTGTCCCATGTGAGGATCAAACCTATGACCCCCCGCCCGAAGTCAATACCGAACTGAGTCACGGAGCAATATTCAGAACATTTAGTAAATTTCGCCGATTCTGACAAACAAAGCCAATGTAGGTGACGCCACGATGAACCTTCTGTACTATTGAATCGGTCTAGTTATTTTTGTCATTAGTTACCACAGTTAAACGTGGTATGTAAATTGAGAATTAAAATCTGTATTCCAAAAGGTTTAAAAAGAGTAAATAAAATGTGGAATTTTTATTCACTAACTATAAATACGATAAAGATAAAAAGGAATTAAATTCATATGAATATTAATGAGAATTTAAACTGGATGAATATAAACTTTAGAGAGAATTTAAACTTTAAAACACAGATACACAGTAAAATTAAAAACGGCAGAACATTTGTTTTATGGTATTTTATCAGTTTTACTTTAATTTAAAACTTTGACGGATTGAGAACTAATATTATTGTGAATTGAGGTTTTGAAGGAATTTTATTTTTAGATATTTATTTAGTTTTCTTCTTTGTATAATCACTACATAGTATAAAAAAAGTTATCCCGCTGTCTGTCTGTCTCTGTGTATGCTTAGATCTTTAAAACTACGCAACTTATCTTGATGCGTTTTTTTACTAATTAGAATGATTCGAAAGGTGTTCAAAGTGTTATTCACATAAACCTTTTATATGTATAATACATAGGACCGTGCGAAGCCGGGGCGGGTCGCTAGTTGTATATAAGAATACAAAATGGATTTCAATAGACCAAAACAAGATGTGCGCCTAATCTACTCATCTCAAGGTTTGACATTCATGAATGATAATCAAACATCTCATGAGATGTTGCATTCGTTATTAAGATGCAGGCTGAATTATATCCAAACAAAACCATTATGACTGAAGTTATCCCCAGGAAATGGGTCCTTGAACTTTTTTCTTCCGACTTAACCATCACTTGTTTCTAGTATTTTTATATAATTATCTCAAATAGGGCTAAAGGTTGCGACATATTTATGGCACTGTTATTACTAATTAATACAGATATATTTTAGGTACATACACGGGTTACGGGTTAGTGATTTTCTAATACAGAAAATAATATATTATAGAAATATTCATCTTAGTCTCTAAATTGCATTCAGATGACAAATCCGAATATCTAGTCTTTAATTTTTTGTTAATGATTACTGTAGGTACATATCACGGAATAGAGAAAACTGTTATCTCTATTCCGTGGTATAAAATGATATAAAACCTATGATATAAAACATCCCTAAACACTTGCGCTTTATAAAATATTACACCATCTTTAAAAAAATAAAGAAAATGTTCATTAAGATTTAGTTGCTTACTGCTTTCTTGTTTTAGCACATCAGTTTGCGGTGGTAGAGTCACACAGCAGCCTCGGCTGTTGCACGAATGGGCAGGCCCGTCCGGGTAAGTACCAAGACCTCACAGAAGACCAGCGTAAAGTGGAAGCATGACAAATACTTTCGCGCTTCGTCTGGTGAGTGAGTTAGCCGGAGCCCAATTTTCTGTAACCGTCTGGTGTAGCAGATGTCCATGAGCGGCGGTATTCACTTAACATCAGTTGAACCGTCTGCTCGTTTGGCAACTTTTCACATAAAAAAAAATCTGTCGTACAGTGTTTAAAACACACTTAATGACTGCCTTCTGAAATCTCATCAAAATCTATGAAGTAGTTTCGGATATCAGACCTAAAAAACAGAAAGACTAACAGACAAGCAGTTTATAACGATGCATGTTCGGGTCTCTATAACATTCCAAATAACTGTATGTGATTAAGAAAATGCTAAAGTTCATTATTAAAAACAAACATTTTAAATTTGCGTATTCTTGAATAGTAATTTGGTCTGAATAGTAATTTGATTCCTAGATTAAGCGGTAAAAATATATACTATCACGTCCCGATATAAAGCCGCGTCTAAAGCCATATTTAAGAACAATGATGCGAATTCTCCCACACATACTAATAGATTTAACGGATTTCATTTTCGTGTTCGTTTTCGTTCTCTTTTATTGTTTTTTTTTTAATAATATAAATACACGTTTTAAAACAAATTATTCATTCCATTTTTCAGTACCTTAAGATTCCTATTAATTCACGCGAAAGGAATACAGTATTTCTTAAATCTATCGACTCTATACAGAAAGTGAGTCTTCTACAATTCTAAATTTATAAACATTTGATACGTGTTCCCAAATACGGTAAGGTCTGTGGAAATAATATAAGTATAGTAGAATAATATAATAGAAAAGTATCTAAAGATAAAACTTTATAAAGTATGAAACTCGAACCTATGATCTACTCAGTAATGTGGGTCGTTACCACTAATTAAATTAAGCGATTTCTATGTATGTACATTATACAACAGTATCGTAATATTTGCTTTATTTACATAAGATAACTTCGACCTTGACGTCATTTCCTTATCGAACTATAACAAGCCACCAATTAAAGTGATTATGACCCTTTGAATGACTGTTATAAAATATAGAAATGATATCGTGAAATCGCGCTGCCACAGCCATCTAAAATACTGCATTTAGTCACGAAACGTGAAAGAGACTCCTTTCGTTCCTAAACTAAACGCACTGTGTCAGTGTGTCATCCGCCCGCGCTGTCAAATTACAAAATGATTGAAGAAACAAGCAAAAAAACTTTTTTAGGGTTTGATTTCAGCACACAACGGGTATGTATAATATTTCTTTTAGAATTTATTTATCATTTAATTTTTATTTTCTGTTAATTAAATTCCTCCTTTAAAATAATTGTTGCCATACTTAAATGCCAATTATTTTGATATTCTTAGTAGCCTAATTTCGTTTAAAACTTGCGAAAGTATTTTTATTATATTATTAATAACGTAATGAGTTTATATGTAATAAATAAAAAAATGTGATAAAAAGCACCAATTTTATAGTTTTACGGAATTTCTATCGCACTTGAATAAAATAAAGACAAAAAAGTATTCTAGAAACAAAGATACTTAAATAACTGAAAAATTTTTACTAACGTTGTAGGCATTTTGACATACAACTTAAAGGTAAATGTATATTTGTAGTTAAAAGCTGTCGTTATTGGTGAAGACTATGTTGTCCAGCAAGAAGCAGATGTGGAATTTGATAATGATTTGCCAGAATTCAGGTTTGTATGACATTACATTTTCAAAAAGAAATATTAGGAAAATTTCTTAATTTAAATAAAATATTGAATATTATTTTCACATTATTTTATGGCATTGCAGAATTTTTGTCCATATCCTTTCGAAATCCAAACTATGTGTATTAACTACCGCCTTATAAAATTATAAAGGATTTACCTTTAATAATTTATAAGACAGTTTAGATTTTAATTTTATAATTTAATACAAAAATACTGATTAACTTTTTGTTATCAATGACTAACCAATCACACATCCCTATGTATTCACTTGCATTATTTAGATCACTTGTTATTCAATTAGTGATAGAACACTCCCTCTGTTCATGATTTAGCTAACAAGGCCCAGTATACAATCACAATTGCTACTACAACCTTCAAAAAGAAAGTATTAAGCCAGTGTTACATATTGGTTAAGATATTTTATTATGGTAATAATTATTATCGTTAGGTAACATTTTAGAACGTTTGGAGGAGTGGTACGCGGGGAACGGGGTGAGGTGACAGCACCACCACTCCTGTGGGTAAAAGCTCTTGATATGGTCATGGACCGGCTCATTGTTGCTGGAGTGGACTTTTCGACTATAGAGGCACTATCTGGGGCAGCACAGGTATTTTAAAAAAATTGTTACTCATGGATACACATAAATAAATTTACAACATATATAAGTAACTTTAACTAGGTGATAGGAACTTTAAAAAAAAAAAAACATTGCCCTTATTGTAGGATAATATTATCCTGTGTTGTCAGGATGGTTTAGACACATAAATTTCACATAGACATTTACGCAGATTTGTGTGGATCACACTTATATGAACCCATGAACCCCGGCCCAAGCCAATATCATGGTAACTGCGCTACTGACTTATCATATTAAAAGTAACTTAGGTACATCATATAATGCTTTAAACTCCTACTAAGATAGTCTAGATAACCATAGGTGAATTAATTGGAGACATTGTTTCATTAAATGTTTTGGGATATCCCAAGTTGAAGGGCACACAACATTCCCTTATTCCATTATTCCCCAAATACTTAGTATTATAATGAAAATTTGGTAATAACTAATATGCAATTTACTGAATACTAAACTTGATATGTTGTATTAGTTTTATAGCTAATGATTTTACAGCTAAAGCAAATGGTTGTAGCATGTTTTTTTAATTTTTTGATACTCCTCAGCAACATGGATCTGTATGGTGGGCCAAAGGTTCAGAGTCAAAGCTTGGCAATCTATCACCTGAGGAGTTCCTCCACACACAACTTGCTACAACTTTTGTTGTCGACTCACCAGTCTGGATGGATTCAAGCACAAGTACAGACTGTAGGGCAATTGAAGAAGCTGTTGGAGGACCTGAGGTGAGCAAAACTTGAATATGAAACTCACAAATCAATAATAAATAATTATATGATCTAGTGCTTGGGATTGTGGATTTACGATCTTCAAATTGCATGTTGGAATCTCTGGAACATTCTGCAGTGAGTTTTCCCCTTGTAGAATAAAAAGGCAAGTTTACATTGACCACAATTGTACATACAAAGGCTCAAAATGAAAATGACAAGTCAATTGGAAATTAAATTGGTCAGTGAGACATGAAAACATTATCTACAACCATCTAAATCAAAAAAGAGGAATTAAAGATTTTAGGGACTTTGTGTGTGATAAATATTTTGACTGTAATTTTTACTCAAAGTTTTGTAATGAAAACTTCTTAATTTCTTAACCGTGAACAGTTTGTTCTCAATTTTACTAATAATAAAAAAATGTGTATACTACAACACTGTTTTTAAAATTGTAATTTATTTATTGTATTTGTCGATTTTAAAATTGAAATAGTCTCTAATTATAATATTGTTTTCAGGAGTTGGCAACCATCACAGGATCCAGAGCATATGAACGCTTCACAGGTCCTCAAATACGAAAAATGTTCCGCACTAGACCAAGGGCTTACCAAGCGGCTGAAAGAATATCTCTAGTATCCTCATTTGCTTGTTCTCTGTTCCTCGGAAAAATAGCGCCCATAGACTTATCTGATGGCTCCGGAATGAATCTCTTAGATATACACACCAAGAAATGGTGTGAAAAAGCTCTGAAGGTAAGCCTAAGTGATTTATGGTTCTTATCAAATGTTTCTGCCTTATTAATATTGTTATTCCTCAATTGAAAGTAGAGACATTACATGGTAAATTTCTGTAGTTATATTAATCTGAAAACTTGTTTCTATTAACTTATAAATTAAAACTGTCTCATTTAATCAACACTCTTTTATTGTCTTCAGGCGTGCGGTGATGAGACATTGGAAAGTAAATTGGGCGACCCGGTCCCGACATCATCAATATTGGGCAAAATATCCCCATACTATGTTCATCGGTACGGTTTCAAGCCTGACTGCAAAGTTATTGCATTCACCGGGGACAACTGTTCTGCTCTGGCGGGTACGTAGAATTTAATAATCACAACTCTATACATTAATTGCTCCTTAATATTAATGTAAAAGTTAATAATTCTTATGTTAAAAGGGAAACATATACAAGTAGTACTTATTTCATATGTGATAGTGCAAGGGAGCAAGTAGTTGATGTTGCCTTAGTCGGCAGGCGAAAATTAAAAGTGTTATCTTATACTGCAACATACAAAAAGCATAAACATACTTCTTGTATGAATCAACTGTCCATATTCTTTTTGAGAATAAAATTACACAAAACACAGGTCTGAAATAATGAATATAACATACATATAAAAATAAGATAATAATTTTTAAATGTATAACTTATCCTCCTAAAGAAAATCACTTAATCTCTGCTGATGCTTATTTAACAATACATTATAAACCTTATCATCCAAAGACTTTTACTTTGACGAATTTATCTGATCTTATTTGTAAAAAAATATCATTATGATTAGATATTTTGACACATTCAAGTATTAGATAGTCTTTAATATGATATTAGAGATAAGGCATCAGACGCATGCATGAGATAGGTTTATTTGATTTAATATATTCTTGTAACTAAAGTTTTTTTTTATCACGATAAAGAATTTTGTTATTAAAAATGTTACATGAAAGATTTTATTATATTTTGCAACCCTTTTTGATGATATTCTTATCAATACTCACATAAAAATAAATAATTTATTATACAACAGTACATAAATAAAAAATATTGTTTTCTTCATTTTTTTAATTTTAAAAATACTGTGTATTATGCTGTTAAATAATTCATGTGTTGCGAATATACTAACTTGGATTGAGTATTTTTAAGATGTGGATTAGATTTTTTATTCTGTGTATTGTGTGTGACTAGGCCACTAAAACACCTTATTTACATAGAGGAGTAGCGCGTGATAGTGGATTTCCATTTTCAATTAATACTTAAACTGTGAATTTTTGTAGATAAATGGAGAAAAAAACATTCAGTTGTGGGATTCGAACCTGCGGTTTTCAGGTATTACGCTCAGAAGATTTACCAACTACACTAAACGGCCGACGACATCACTGTGACGCTAAAATTTCGATATATTTCAACTTTTTTTCATTTTCACCAAAGGTACTAGGGTGCATAGAATAGAACGAAAATTAAGTTAATCATCAATTAATACTATTCGCACTTGTCTTGCAGTTTATCAGTCAATGGAGAGTACATTATCATTCATCTCGAGTGTCACCATCACACAACAAACTCTTTTGTCTTTCTATATTCATCCTTCCCACTTGTCCAAACCTGCCGACTAACTCGTGGCCTATTATGTGATTATCACCCTGTTTCAGGCCTCCGTCTCCGCTCGGGCTGGGTTGGTCTCAGCCTGGGGACGAGCGACACGCTGCTGCTGGGCCTGGAGTCACCAGCGGCGCCCCCTGCCGGCCATGTACTGGTGGGACCCACCGCTGAAGCCCCCTACATGGCGCTGCTGTGCTTCTCCAACGGCTCCCTGACACGGCAGAACCACAGAGATCGCCTGGCCGGGCCCAGCTGGGAGGCCTTCAATGAGCTCCTGCGGTCAACGGTCAGGGGCAATATGGGCTATATGGGTGGGCATAAACATCTGCATAATTATGTTCCTTCTGGTATACCAATAATAAAAATGTTCCAGATATGTGGAGATCCAATCCAGTTGCATATACAGAGTTTCGCTTTTGTTCAAACTTGAAAGAAAATGGATATTGTCTACGGCCAATTCTTATGTATAAGAGTATCCAAGAAATAATCTAGGACTAGACAATAACAGGAACAGGAACGACAAAAGCATATGCAGATTAAAAAAAAATAATGTCCCATGTGGGTTTCTTACCCACCACCAGTTTCGCGAAAGTGGCTTGGAACCTTTCAGACCGTTGTTACGCCTGTGCTATTAAATATAATACATACATTACATTGTTCGTTGTATCAGTGCTGTGTCCATGCGGTGGCATGTGAATGAATGAATGAATGATTTGTGTGGGAGGGGTTGGGCAGTAAGTCCCGACGACCACTATGAGTTTTGACCGATTGTAGTCTTCACTTCGAAAATATTGCCCCTTACTGCAGGACAATATTATCCTGTGTTGTAAGCACGTTTCAGGAACACAAATTTCACATGGTAGTCACATTAGTTGTCTCATGTGGAATCGAAGTCGTGACCCCCGGTGCAGATGCCAATACCTTGGCAACTGTGGCACGGAGTCATCACTACACTACTATACTATTGCTGAATATCTTGACGACGCCAATGTGTGGGGTTAATACTGTTGGTACGTTAATACGTAGGCTAAAACAAGACTATTATACCTGTAACATTATATTGTAAACTGACCTTTAAAAAAGAGCAACTGTTAAATTTCTTGCCCGTTTCTTCTCAACAGAAACTGCTTTCCGAACCGGTGGTAACTTACGAACATATTAATTACCTTGTAAAATTTCGACGTTTCATAACAACGCACAAGCGTCTATGTGAGTAAAGATATTTTATTATTTATTATTATTAAAAAAACACTGCCGCAGGCATATACTACGACACGGCCGAGATAGTGCCCAGGGCCGCTGCGGGGCGGTGGCTGGTGGGGGGCGGGGGGCGGAGCGCCGAGCGGCCCGCGCCCCAGTTCGAGGCGAGGGCGCTGCTCGAGGGGCAGGCGATCGCGAGGCGCGCCCACGCCGAGGACATGCACTTCCGTCTAGGTATGCAAACGTGCGCTCTATTGCCAAAGGCATAAGGGTTGTTTTATTAAAAATTGCTCTTACTTTATGATAACATTATCCTGTGGCGTAAGGGCGTTTTACATAAATCTCACGTGCACAAACATCCAGATGCGAAACAATTATGTTTGGGTCACAAAATTTGTTGTCCCATGTGGAAATCGAGCCCACTACCCTCGCCGTCAAAGCCGCGACTTTGGAAGAGATATTGACACCTGTGAAGATGCCTGGTGGTGTAGGTAGGCAAAGACGCGCTCTATTTTGAAGCCCATAAGAATGCTTTTACTCCGAAAGGATATTGCCACCCGTGAAGTGGCTGGAGGTAGAGCGGTGGGTGAGCGAAGATGCGCTCCATTTTGAAGCGAAGAAGGATGATTTTACACTGAAAAAGGTGCGCTCTATTTTGGTCCCCATAAAGATAGAAGTAGGAGTCGCTGGAGGCCGTGTAGGTGAGCAAAAGTTTGCTCTGTTTTTAAGGGATAAGGATGCTTGCAATTGGGACTGGCGTTCGTTTAGACGAGCAAAGGTGCGCTTTAGAAAAAGTATAGTCACCCGTGAAGAAATCGCGGTTTGTCTTGAGCAACGCGTGTTCTAATATCAAAGGCATAAGGATCGTTTTACTTCGGATAATTTAATCTAAGCAAATGCAATATATAAGCATTAAATGTATTAGAATAAAAACTTTTCAATTTAAAAGTTTTGCAGTTTATTAACTTATCTCATAAAACTTATGTATATATTTATAATAATACCTCTTAAAAAGAGCCAAAGAAAAAAATACATTCAGCAATTTTGTACTTTCACGCCAATTTAATGGAAGCAACGAAGTTTTCTCGTCATAAGTTTTGTCTATTGTAGTTCACAAAGGTCCAATCAACAATACAATTTGTTTTATAGATATACTCTTCATAAAATAATACTCACAATTACTACAATTGAACTGATTATGCTCTTTACTAAATGAAACTATGATTAACCACCCCATCACCATGAACTCTGTAAAGGGTTTGAAACGTCGGGAATTAAAACCAAATATAAACGCGATAAATACTTAAACATGGTGTAAATACAAGAAAGTATTATGACTATGCTCTTACTACCGCAAAATGTTTGTCACAATTTCTTATGTTTTACCATCTCGTAGAGTGCCTTAAACCGTGCCCGCGCCGTTCGTGATTTGTATTGGTAAATCTACAGAGCCTTCGTCGCGGGTGGTGGCGACAGGTGGCGCTTCGGTCAACAAGGAGCTGCTCCAGATCTTTGCTGATGTATTCAACACGCCCGTCTATGTGCAAGTATGTTTATCTTAAGTATATGCTATCCATATAAATATATATATGATCTTATAAATAATACACACTATCCCTATAAATATATAATTACAAAAATATACACTTAACATCGGCCATTCGGCAAGCTCGCTTACTGAAAGAAAAAAATTATCCTTTTTCAAAGTGTGCTTATGTAATGTAAGGTACCAAGGTTGATCCCAGAACCCTTGCTGGCATATCGAAGATGACCCCCAAGGTAGTTTTAGTGAGTAACAACTCATAAAGCTCAAGTATCACACCAGCGTTAAACTCTTTGATTTTCAAAATAGATATGACTTGGTCATAAGCTTTCACTTGCGGCAAATGAATTATTTATTTTATAACTTTAACATAAATCTCTTATATAGGCCGAGTTAATGCCTGAGGCATTCTTTACCAGTGAATTTATAAGGTGGCGCATCTTGTCATGCATCATCTCTATCCGAGATGAGTGAAGAGCAGAGAGAGAATTAGCTAGCGGTCAAGCGGTCAAGTGCCAAAAAGTAGTATAAAATGTTTAATTTCTTAATTATATTGTTAAGGAACAGCATGCAAACGCAGCATTATTGGGAGCCGCCATCCGCGCTGCTGAGGTCTGGAGCACAGAGGCCAGCGTCACCTTGACTGGTGAGTTATTTTTTTAATTACAAGTGGTGATTACGGGTTGTCCTTTACGGGGTAACCAATCAGTCGCAACAAGTATAGATAAATTTTGTTAATCCTTAGGTGACATAGCCCATTCGTACTGCAGAAGATGCTGTGTGACTGTACTGCAAGAAGAGTTGTATTCCTTTTTTTTCTCAACACCCATGTTACATATTATATTATTATAATTATAACCCATATTTTTCACATTGTATATGTTATTAATATACTAAAAATAACATTTGTAAACACTTAAATGATTATTGATATAATTTCTGTCAGTTTAATTCGAGTAACTTAATACTGAAAACTCAGCTCTTCACCAAAACTCATTTTCTATGGTTTTAAGGAAAATTAAAGTAAAGACCATAATTTGTTTATGGTCTTTACTTTAATTTATATCTGCTTGCTTATATATATCTCAGAAATAAAGGACTAAACAAAGAATGAGTAATTTGTATTAGAGTTAATTTTAATTGAGTATGTTTGGTTTTAATGATAATTGTGTAATAATTTATGCATAAATTCAGGATCGGAGCCAACCCTCACTCCGGTGGCCATCCCCTATCCAGACAGCGAGAAGATCTACACTCCAATGATGGCACGATACCGAAAAATGATAGAGGACATTCCCAAACTCGAATAGAAGCTGTATTTATAGCTATTTTAACAACTATCGCTTGGTCAATAGTTTAACTGCTAAGTACGATTACTTAGATTTCCTTTGATCATGAAATTTGTTCATGAAGTCGGCAAATAGCCTAATTTGTAGTAAAAAGACACTAAATATTATGAGCTGTAAACACGCCTGTTTAACCACTCAACTGATTACTTATATCCCCATCATAAAGTTTGTCCAAGAAATCATCAGAACAAATATGACCTCAATTTTAGTGAAAAGACATTGTTAAGAGTTATGAGCTTCCGGTTAAGAAGAAAGCTTTGTTGATGTTATTTATCATAATGTTCACGTGCTAGAATTTAATAATGTTGTAAGTGCATTAATATTAACGTAAAATTTAAAAATTCTTCACACATATCCCAGTATATAATACGATTAATATGTTTACCTAACAAAGAAAGGTTTTTAAAACCGTGTAGGCAATGTTGCATAGTTTTTATTTGAATTTTAATTCTGAATACATTAAAAAAAAATGTTATCGAAAAAGTTTTGTGTCTAGCAAATTACTGAATTTTAAATAGAGACTTACGAAAACCTGTAAAATCACATTCCTTAGATTTTTTATGAAAGTTATGCTTTATTACTGTTAAGTTAAGTTTGAAACAATATTTCTCGCATTCTATGATCCCTTTTTACACTTTTAATGAAGATCTCGACATTCCTCAGATGAAAACGATCTTTTATATTTTTGTACAACTTTTGTGGCGAGTGATTATTTTTACAAAGATTTTTATTTACACATTTATTTTTGTTTTTGTGTGTTGATTGCACGGTCTACTTTTTTTTAAATCACAGACTTTTACGATTATTTCATTTACAATTTAATTTATAAATGTTAATTATTTTTAAGTTTTAAATATTTCCTAAATATATGATTCTCATTTTTTAATATTTTAATGTAAAAAGAAATAGGTTCACAGTCTTATTAATTTTTTATTATTGTCTTATTTATCTATTATATTTATTTATTTTTATTATCTATTTGTTCTAAACATTGATAATAATTTTTACTTTTAATCAAATATTCATAGAACCTTATATTATAAGAGTACTTGTGATAACAATAAACATTAAAACTTTACAATAATTGACCATTTGTCGTATCCGCAAAATTTGCTGACATTTTGTAAAAATTCAACTTGCCTTTGTGAAAATTTTGAAACGCAATTAAATGTTCAATATAATATTCCTTTAAAATAAATGTATTTTATATACACTTTTACGGCTGTTCACGCATTTTTTTATTAAATATTATATCAAGATTTCGTCTTTTATTTTGTCTATTAACAGGTTTAAGAAATTTATTTTCTTATCTTTTAAAAAGGGTTATTATAATATAAATGAATACACTAACGATAATAACCCCTGGGAATGCGATGATCCCTCCTAAGCTGTTTCTAAAAAATATATGTACTGTATAAGAATGTATTTGCTTGAGTAAAAAAATGACAAAAAAGAGGATACCTACGGAGTTTCTTTCGCCTGTTTCTTCTCCGTTAGAGAAACCTCGTTACGAAACGGTTGTTGTTGTAGATTTAAAAAATGACTATCGATAAATGAAATGTTTATTTCTTATTTCGATGAATAAATGATTTGATTTGATCTCCCTTCACCTAAAACTATATCTAACTTATACAATATAAATTTGTAAAAAAAATAGTTTTTCGACGCTACGCGGAGCTTTCGTTAGTCTTAGGCTCCTAAGTTACTTCTTATTCCATTTAAATTGGTCAAATTATAAAAAAATATTTTGGTATATGTAAAATAAAATAGATGTTGATTCGCTTCAGTTTTTTTTTCTACAATTTAAGTGTCGACTTCTCTATTAGGTACAGAAGCACCTGTGCCAGAGGGAGCCACTCTACCTTAACAAAAATGTTATAACTAAACAAACACCTTATTTAATTTATACAACATATTACAACAAAACAGTGGCAGTGTGTGTTTGCGTATGCGTGTGTGTGAGAGAGAAAGGGTAGCGTACACAAAATAACTAAAACAATGTACCGTGTGGAGCCGTGATAGCTCAGTGTCTGGGCGCTCGCCTATAATTTAATATACTCGAGCAACGTGAGTTCGATCCCCGGTGCCAGCACCAATGAAATTGTCAATTTTAAGTGCTAATTTATCACGTGCTCAGCGGCGAAGGAAAACATCGTGAGGAAACCTGCATATTTTCGAAATAATAACAAAAAAAATATATTTCGAAGGTGAAGCCAATCCGTAGTGGGGCCAGTATTTATCTGTATATATGTACAGAATCAAATGAAACAGCACTTATTTAATTTTATTTATTCATCTGACTATTTATGACAGTTAAAAAACTATTTCTTCAGTGATAACATAGTATTAAAAAAATCACTTCTTGCGACCGCCTCGTTCCTTCACCTGCAGGTGTATGACAGCTCCAGGCGGAACATTATAATAGGCTAGTGAGTTGGTGTCTTTGAAGAACAAGCCCTGCAGAGTGAAAAAAAGTTATTAGTTAAAATTATAATACAAAACTGAAATAAATCCATGCACATGATTAAAATAAGAAAATAATATAAAAATATGAATAGATACCACCACATCAGTGTGGTATCCATTCGTATATTCATACGCTATCTCTTTCTAATGTATAATTTTTATACATTAGAAATAGTTTAACACACCTTTAAACTTATGTGCTTATCAATAAGTTTCCGCCAAAATCATCATCTCGTGTTTTGGCTATATAATGTATTCGATAAAGCTAATGAAAATAATCTATCTGAAAGTGAGAAAAACATTTAATAAAGATAAGGCACTTGCAAGTCCCCTAGCTGTTCCTAATTTTATACTTAAATAGTTTTGTATACTTATATCATCAAAAGATGTTCTTATAGCATCAAGACCTGAGAGTTTCTTGCTGGTTCTTCTTCTCTGGACAGGTCTAGTTTAGTGAACTGGTGTTGGTTTTTTGACGTTCAGAAACAGTTTAAAATAATCCTGTAATGAATAAATAAATTTTGACTTTGACTAGATGTGAGCCTTACCTCATAGTGCAGCTTCTGTTTAGCTGTTGGCATGTTGGTGGATCGCTGCAGCATCGCCTTCAGCTCACCAGCGGTGGTGGTGAGGGGCACGGTAAGGGGTAGAGTGCGCCCATCTAGTCGCCACTCAGAACGCTCCGGCAATGACGGTATGGCCACCTACATAATAGAAAAATTATTGCCGGAGATGTTTGGACACAAATAGAAAGGCTGAATTATCCCTTAGACCAAAGTGATAAACTTTTAACTATTGGCTCTGAAACAATGATATAACATCCTGTGGTAGAGCCACACAGCAGCCTCGGCTGTTGCACGAATGGGCAGGCTCGTCCGGGTAAGTACCACGACCTCACAGAAGACCGGCGTAAAGTGGAAGTATGACAAATACTTTCGCGTTTCGTCTGGTGAGTGAGGTAGCCGGAGCCCAATTTACAAAAAGGTTGTCAACGCATCTGCAAACCCTCGGGTGTAGCAGATGTCTATGGGCGGTGGTATTCACTTAACATCAGGTGAACCATCTGCTCGTTTGGCAACTTTTCACATAAAAAAAAAAAAAAAGAAAAAAACATGGAAGGTCATTAGATGTTAAGTAAGGAAGTTACATCTATTAGTTCTACATTTTGTGATCTCTTCGCTCTTAAGGAGAAAGTTCCACAGCCTCATTTCAGCTTTTTAAGAGGTGGCGAAGCATTTCACCGTCAGCTTTACCGTCAGCTGGCTTGCCTCCGGGTGGGTTCACTCTCATAAAAGGTTCAAATGTCTGACCTGCAGGGGCGCGGAGCCAGGGTGTCGAGAGAGCCAAGTGCCCTCCGGCTCCAGGGCGTCTTCTGTCCTCGGGCGCTTCGCGGCCGGCTCCTCGGGCTCGTCGGGGGCGGGGGGCGCCACCGGCGCGAAGCCGTACGGCGCCCCCACGGGGGTGGGGATGAGGGGCGGCCTCGGCGCCAGCGGCGGGATCACCATCAGCGGCGGAATGGGCTGCAGCAGCACGGGCGCGGCGGCGGCGGCGGGAGCGGGGGCGCGGGGCGGCGCCGGAGGGGGGGGAGCGCGCGCCGGCGCCCTGCCCAGCGGCGGGGCGGCCACCGGCTTCGGCCCGATCTTCTCCTTCTCCTCGTCCGGAAGCAATCCCTTGACCTGGATTGAGGCAGGAGCGGTCGGTAGTATTTTGTAGAGGGATATATTATTAGTAACAGTTAGTCGGAAGACTACAAATGTCATATTCGATAGAAATTAAAAAATTATATGGGTCTTTATATCTTTATGAAGAAGAGGAAAATAAATTTAGCAAATAGTGTTTGGAATGTAAATAGTTAAACTGACAACTTACATGCCAAGAAGCTACTAATTAGTCTTGCTTTAGTAAATATGTAGAGAAATCTAAACTAAAAGAATAACTTCTTGTATTACAGAAAACCGGTGTCCTGTGCCCAAATTTACAGTTTCTTAATGCGTGTTTCGTACCATATGCTCCCTTGCCACCTTCTCACATAAAAAAGAAAGATTTCCTATGCTTTCGCATTTCCTGCACCACGCATACCTACCTTGTGTATCTGCTGAATCTGGTCCTCGAGTGTAATGTGGGCGCGGGCCGCTCTGGTGGCTGCCTCCACGCTGCTGGTGTGACCGTCCCAAGTGACGCGCTCGTCACGCCGTCTCTCCTCCTCTCCGATCTTCTTACCGATGGCGGTCTCCTCGTCACCCACGCCGAAGATGTCCGTACGCCGCTCGGCCAACTGCGTAATTTATTAAGGCAGCCTTAATTATACATTATATAAAGGTTCACAAACCGATGGGTAATGAACCTGCCTCTTACGCCACAGGGTGTGACTTCGATCCCCACTACTGGAAAAATATTGTGCGATGAACATAATGTTTCTTCAGTGTCTAGGTGTTTATTTTTGTATAATATGTATTTGTTGACAAAAATAAAAGTATATTATAAAAGTATGTTTATCAGTTATGGGTATATAAATGGTACAAGTGTTGCTTAGTTTGGGACTAGATAATGTTGTGTAAAAATGAGTCCAAAAATATTATTATTATATTATAAGAGCACAAGTGCATACCACCCAGAGGTGAATGAGCTGTTCTGTGATAAATGTGAACAATTGCACATGGGATATGGAGGGTCACTACCAATTTGCATACAGTAAAAAAGCAAGAAAAACAGATAGATAACTTAATAATATATCAGTAAACATGTATGTTATGTGTGCAGTGCATTTCATCTTGCTAAAACTTAGATTATGGGCCGATGGAAAGTACACCATAGGTTTGGATAAGAAATTTTGCCAATAAACCGACCAAGATCGATTATAGTCTGTAAGTCATAGCAATATCATAGCTGATGGGCAGACGTGTGAACAGACAGAGTGAACGACAAACTGATAACATGGATGAAATGGGTGACCTGTTTGAGGGAGGCCTCGATGGCGGCGCCGGGCGCGAGTGCCTCGTCGCGGTCGGTGCGCTCGGCGGCGGCCCTGTCGCGCTGCTCCAGCCAGCGCGGGTCGAGCAGCCCGATGCGCACGTGGTCGGCCACCTTGTTCGCGGGGATCTTCTCGCCGGTGATGGGCGACACCAGCCACTCCTCGCTGGCGGGCGCCGGCTGCGGCCTGGCCCTCTTGGGGTCGTACTTCTTCACGACCACGCGGTCCGGCCGCGGCGGCAGCGGCGCCTCGTCGGGCTGCCTGGGCTCCGGCGGCTCCTCCTCCTCCGAGGAGCTGTCCTCCTCCATGTCCTGCACGCGGTTGTCGTCCGGCCTCTGCTGCTGCTGCGTGCGGTCCTCCATTTCGGCGAGGTCGTCGTCCGTGTCGGAGTCGGACTCCGACTCGAGCTGCATTTCGGTGTCGTCCTCCTCGTTCCCGTGCGTAATGTCCTCGCCCCTCTCCTCGGCCAGCACCCTCGCGCCGACTTCGAGCGGAGTGGTCGGCGGGGGGAAGTCCCCGGGCTCCCCGGCCGGGTAGTCGACGGTCTCGACGACGACGAAGTCGTGCCAGTCGATGGAGGCGTACGCCAGCCTCTCCTTCTCAATGCGCGCCTCGTCCGCGGCCTTGCGCCTCGCCTGGTGCGAGTGCCAGGCGGCGCGGCTGCGCGCCTGCTCCAGCACCCCGCCCCTCACTTCCGCGGTCAGCTTGGAGACGAGCTCCTTCGGGGGCAGCAGCACCTTCGTGTACTGCTCTAGCAGCCTGGTGAAGTACTGGAAGAGGGAGTGCTGCGGCCGGAGGAAGTCGAACTGGTGGTTCCTCTCCTCTTTCTTCATCAGGTCGGTGAGGAACTGCCTGCCGTTGCGAGCGACGAACTGCGCGGTGAGCTTGACGATGTCCAACTCTAGAGCGGAGATCGAGGGCGGGTCCGCGATGAACTCGAAATCGGGCGGGGGGTCGCGCGGCGGCGGGGGCTCCGCTGGCGCCGCCGCTTTGAGTAGTTCCTGCTGGCGGGCGGCGGTGGCGGGCGCCAGGCCCGGACGCTGTAGCGGCGGCCCTGGAGGCGCTGGTGCTGAAGGATCGGGTCCTGAGGATATTTATCATGTAATGTCAATTGTAATTCAAAATGTAGAATATATATGGTTAAATCAGAATTTTGATTTGCGTATTCAATCTGTACAGTCAACAAAGATTCAAATCTGTTCAAATCTGTACAGTCAAACAAGCGTTCAAACAGTGTTTAATGCACATCAATACTCTTTAAGATACACAAATATTCAAATTGAAATATCTTTATTCAGCATTACATTCACTTATTAATAGTCAAAATACTACCACCGGTTCGTAAAGAAAGCCACTCATCTGAGAAGAATCAGCGAAAGAAAACAACATTGTATATTAGCTTTAGAGCTAATAGAGATATACAATGTACATCTAATAAACTACTAATATTATAGGAAATAGAATATTGATACACAAATAATTATTTGATTTTAGTGAGTTTAAATTAGATTTCTAGCTTATTGAACTTATTATGTTGGTTTAACATTGTATAATATAAGTAATAAAATCTATTTTGAGTTTGTTTCACTGGTTTATCTCAGTGGTGACTTATCTGAACCGGTAGTAGTATTTAGACAATCAATAAAGAAGTGTAATGCTTCTATATTGATCAAAGATATTTTAATATCAGAAGTGTGTGAATACAGGGTATAATTAAATAGGTTGTTGTTCCCTGGTAAAACTGCAACAAGTTAATCCCTTAATGGAGGTTACCAGTTGCAGTACTAGTGGTAACCGGTTGCAGTTTTACCTGTAACTAAAACAACACCTATTATGCTCAACACTAACAAAGTCTTAATGGTAAAAATATACTTTTTACCAGTATAGACTTGGATTACTTTAAATACAATTTAAACACAAATATAGACTCACCTTTTCCTTCCCTTATCTCCTTGACCTTGTGCTGATAATACGCATGGTACGGATCTCCAGAATTAAGAAAATTGAACTTTGGATTGCCAAGTTCATTTTGTCGGATGCGGGCTTCAAATTCTGGTCCATTACGAGCTACAAAACTAGCAGTTTTGTCAACAATATCTAAGCTTTTGGTTAAGGAAATATTTTATGTTTAAATTTGAATTTAAAAATGTTTGGTGAAAAGGCATAGAAATATTATATTTCATAAATTAAACCTAAAGCAATGTCTACACACTAATGTGCACTGCATGCTAAAGCTTTGTCCTAATTTTTTTGTATTAGGACATTATTCAGAATTTTTTTAAGACGGGAACTTTTGATGTGGAATTATTACACTTTTGCATTTCTTAAGTAAGTGGTGTAAGTAAGTGATGTAACTCAGGTGTTTTAGATGTCCATTGGCGATGGTATTCATTTAAAATCTATGGCCTATAATCAAAACAACTGAAATGCTAGCACTCATGACCACTTAAAATCCTACTGAACACATCTTAATTGAATATTACGTTTTCAAAGATTTTTATCAGAATATCCGTGTCTAGTTACAGTTTATTTAGAGGTTGTGGTTGGTTAACTCAAAAGAATTAATAACAAACTACGTTAAAATCAAGCAAATTTGTACTTACCATTTAATACTTATTATGATATTTAAGCATGATCAAGTATATGACCATTAAAAGGAATGAATTTGGTGCCTGTCCGTAGAAATCAAGTCGGAAAGCTTCATGTTTACAAAGTGCTGGTTACAAAGTTCTGTTTTCAAACAGCGAATATATGGTCATTGTCTGTAAGAAATATTTACAAAAGGATACTCCTTACTTCTGGTGGAGGGTAAATAATACCAATCACCGGGGGTGGAGGTGCTGGGGGCTCTTCTGGTACACCCTCTAGGGGTTGGCCTGGTGGGACCAACACATCTATGGAGGGCATTGTCCTCCTCTTTGCTTACGCTGTTACTAAAGGATCCTTAATTGTTCCAAATATTGTTGAGTAAGAATCATCACCAATAAAAATCACAACGATAATGTTACTATTACAAATACAAACCTGTTTATCAAGAGGAGCACAGATTGCCGAAAATGTCATAGATAATACATATTACATATATACAGAATTACAGACTATACAGTAGGGATGAAAAAATATTGATATTTTGAGTTAATATATCGATATTTTATGCCGATATATTCGATCCAATATATCGATATAAAATATTCATTATCGAAATCATATCAAAAACGATATTAGTTTTCAAATTCGAATTCGGCAAAAAGTCCCTAGATGTCAAATATTTAGTACCTAACATACTTTCTTTTTTACAACGGGACCTAAAGAAAATATTGATATAATAGAGAAGATATCAATTATCTTCTCTTTGATATATTGAGGCCGATATTGATACTTTTATAAATTTCGACATAGCTTTCGACATCCCTCCTACCCAAATATACAGATTATTCGGCAAATATGTCAGCAATGAATATGATGCAGATTATAAATTAGGGGAAAACCATTGTTTCCAAAAATTGATGTATCCTGGAAGTTTAAAGTTGTCATCAATGTTGAAACTCAAAAAATATTAAAACTTCATCGTTCTTTGTGAACGATGTTTCATCATAGAGTTTTATTGGTAGATTGAATGGTGTTCTATATTTTGGTGAATTTGAGTGAAATTGTCGTTTTACTGACTTAATCACAAGCACGTTTTTGTTACGTATCTCCCATGCTGTTTCCACTCACTCCTCTGTTACTCACTGTACTCTTTCGTCATGAGAGGTGAGCGTCTGAGCGAGAAATCGAAAGATTTTATAACAGGTAGAATATTGTGAATGTGTAATTTAAACATAAAAATAAAAAAACATTTCTTATTTTACACACTCAACTTCTGGGTGAGGGTATCATTTTCATATTTTACCTTGTACTTAAAAAATATTGGAAGTATTTATTAAAATAAATTGACGGTTCACAGGTCGACGGACGTGGATGGAGTGATGACTGTTGCAAATGTCAACTCACTGGGCGTGCATAGACCAATATACTGTTATGGGCGGTGTTTGTCATCAGGTGAACCGCCAGCTTGCTTGCCACTTTCTCACATAAAAAAAAAAGTCATTTTCGATTTAACCCCGTCAAATCAGTTATAAAGTTACACTAAATAATCTTTTTGGGGTCATATAAAAAGTAGAAAACATTGAAATCCAGTAAACAATTTATTATGTTGAAATAAACATAATCATAATTATGCGTACTAAAATCTATTCCTTACATATAATAGTATATAAATAAATATATTTTATAATAGAAAAAACAACGATTATACCTAAACGACGAAACAACGAAAATACCTAAGTAAAAACAATTGTTTGATTAACTATACTTTTATACAAAAATGTTTATAAGTAATTGTCGGTTTGTTTTATTTCTGTTTTATATAAAGAGGTCATTTTACATTTCATTAAATAAAATAGGTTAGCATCATCACCACAACAAAGTAAAAGTATAGCGGTTCTTCTACAAATACTAGTTGCACAAGTATTAATAGTACTGATTATTACTATGATAACAATATTTATTATAGTTATAGTCCAGCGATATAACAGCATCGGGAGCGGAAGTGCTACTGCATGTGTATTTTCCTCTTACAATAACATTTTCCTTACACTATACCACTTAGCGTTGATGAATAAAAGGCAAGAGAATAGGAGACAGGATATATCCTGGCCCATAAAGTCCATTCTTATATGCATTCCCCATAAGCAGTCGAATGTCCAACGGAGTCCAGCTTCTATTCCAGCTCCAATATTTCGGGGTCCTCGTGTTAGTAGGTGAATATAATGGACCTTATTAGGCCGTCACGCACTGAATCGCTGCTCTGGCCGATGCCGAAGTTGAAGAAGACAGACTCGGCGGCCACTTGCTGGGCGCATCGGCCCATCGGGTACCAGCCCACCTTGTTGAACACTATGCCCACTTTGTACACCTGTCGGCGAAGTACACATTCAAAGGTTGACACTGTCATAAAAAATAAAGTCTATATAATATGTCCCACTGCTGGGCTAGGGCCGCCTCTATATGAGTTAGTAGTACCGAGGGTATTAGAGTTAGTCCACCACGCGGCCCCACAGCGGATTGGGGGACTTCACTTATCTTCGATATATGTTTTTTTGTTATTATTTCGATATTATAAAGTTCCTCACGATGTTTTCCTTCACCGCTGAGCACTTGATAAGTCAGAAAACTTGAAATTAACAATTTCATTAATTAATTTCACTCGCATTTTGAAATTGTTTACATTACCCGTTTCATTGACCTATTACGATATTTAAATAATATATTAATTATGACGAAGGAGGATTAAATAAGTACTCTAACGACATGACCAATCACCGACAAGGCTTCTTTAAAAATAGTTAACTGTATATAGGGCCACGCAACAGTGTTCACTGTTGCACGTAAGTACCATGTGAAATAGAACTGTTTCATTTCTGCGTTTCGTCTGGTGACTGAGGTAAATGTCAAAATTATACATGGGCCGCGGTCATCACTTAACATCATGACGGTGGTAGGGCCACGCAGCAGCCTCGGCTGTTGCACGAATGGGCAGGCCCGTCCGGGTAAGTACCACGACCTCACAGAAGACCGGCGTAAAGTGAAAGTATGACAAATACTTTCGCGTTTCGTCTGGTGAGTGAGGTGGCCGGAGCCCAATTTTCAAAAGGTTGCCAACGCCTCTGTAACCCTTGGGTGTGGCAGATGTCCATGGGCGGCGGTATTCATTTAACATCAGGTGAACCGTCTGCTCGTTTGACAACTTTTCGCATAAAAAAAAAATCAGGTGAGGTGCCAGCTCGATCGCCACTTTCTCACAGTGTCGTAGTAGCGATAAACGCGCCCCGCTCCTACCTTGTTCCTCTGCACGTACACCGGCCTGTTGAACATTATGTCGAGCAGGTGGCGGTACGGCACGCGGCTAGTGTAGTGCGTGTACGTGAGCCGAGCGCCGTCCGCGTCAAGCAGGTGCGCGTACAGCAGCTCGCAGTAGCCCGCCCCCGCCCCCGCCCCTGCGCCCCCCACCAGTCCCCCGCCGCCCACAAGCGCCCCACCCGACGTGCCGCCGGCCTCCTCGCTCGGAGCTTGAGTCGGCACCTTTTAGCAATTTCAATCCAACGCGACGTTTCAAGGCGGAATAGCTAATGACAAATAGTCTGTATGGAGGAATCCCAAGACGTTGAAATTTAATATTATAAAATTTTAATAAATTAAAATTTAGAAACTAGAAGTTGTAGCAACAAGTAAATACCTTTCAATGTCTTTCTGTTTTGTAATGAGTGTGGGAATGAGCAAGAATTAAATTATAAGAAAAAATTCTTTGATGATGATGATGAGCTGATAACTGCTGATAATCTGCTTGGAAAATCATTAAAGCCTTAATAATTAGTCTGGACAAGGGGGAATTGAGTTCCATAAAAGTGAGTATTGATGATAAATGGAGAAATAGAAAAAGATTTATTATGTACAAAATTATTCACATATTAGTACCTGGAGGACCGGAGTTTTTTGTGGTAAATCGTGTATTTTGGAAATTAAAAAAATAAAGAAATCAATGATCTGGTATAAAAAATAAGTGTGTAAATGATCGTGACACGAACCGCAGCCTTCTGTTTCGGGGCCGCCTGATTAATATTATAACATTTTTTTTCGGCAAAATTTACCGTCATATTAGAATGATATTTTTCCCTGAAAACAGGGACATTTTCTAAAAATGAAACCTAGTCAGATCGTTTTTTCGCCCCCGAATCTACGCACATACTAAATTTCATGAAAATCGCTGGAGCCGTTTATATATACAAGATTTGCTTGTTTAAAGGTATTAGATTCACTAGAACACAGAGTTATCTATTATAAAACCTCATAAATGTTGTTAAATCACTAACCTGGACTCCCCATAAGCAGATGTTCTTATCCACCATAAAAGTAACAGAACAATCTAGAACGCTCGTGTTCAGGCAGTCCGTGTGTTGGATGATGGGACGCTGGCAGTATATCTTGTTCAGGTCAGCACTCCTCTCCATCTGCTCCACCATGCCCAGGGCTGAGTGGGCCTGGTTGTAGACCATGGACGAGATGCGGACACCTTCAGTGTTATAACAAGAAAAAGCTGTTCTTAGTATTCATTCACATTCTTCGATGATGGTGATAAAGTAGCCTTGAGTTGGTTTCATGAATTGGGATTATCAATACCTCTATATGGGATTCTTTAAGATTGTTTAATTCAAGTATGGTGTCTTGACCCCAAGTAACAAATCCCAAAAGCCATAAGGGCAGACTCTACTAAAACTTTAAACTAATTTATTATTTGGAACAACCTAGAAAGCTAGTCCCTACTGAAACCGAAAATGTTAATGGAATAAATATAGTGATACAATGTGATAGACAAACGCATGTTTGTTGGCTTTAATGATATTATTTCAACAGATGATAATTAAAACATACATAGAACTAAGCAGTTACCAGGACCATACAGAATGTTATATGGTTCAGGCTCTAATAAGTTTTCAAGAGATTGGAAATTTGATGAGATTCTGAGCGGTTAATCAAAATTCCCTACCATCATGTCGCGGCGGTCGCTGGTATATGTTGCAAGGGATGGGTATGTTCCATGCCTGCTCCACCGACACGGGGCTTGGCGTGTCGACTGTGAACGTGGGCATCTGAGAAACGTTTAAGGTGTTATTCATAACTCAATTCATATGAACAATGATTTTGTTTCTTCTTTGATTTTTTGGCCTGGTTGTAGACCATTTATGAGATGTGAGAGCGACACAACTTAATGAAACTCATTTACCGACACATTAGTGACCGGTGTGTGCAATCTGCAATGTGCAGTAGAAACTTTCTTGTTCAGGCAGATTTTGGGTAGAAACCAAATTGTTCCAATGGAATACTGTCGTTTTATAAGACATAGTCCTTTTTCAAACAATGCCTTCATTTAGCTTCTCAAAGGTAGCTGATTAAGATTGTGTGGTTTGTTCAGCTTTTAAAACATTTTTAATAATATTATGGGTATCTTGGCGAAAGTTAAATTGCCAATTAAACTAAGTTTAATTATACCTTTGACATCTTTCGGGGTCACTAAGTTTAAAGTGGCTGGTGGTAATGCAGTCGTACCTGTAGGTTACCTAGGCATGTGTCATTTTCGAGGTCATCCAAGGCAAATTATGTACTATCAGGTTTCACAAATGGCGGGAGGGGCGTGTAATGCTACTGTTTCTATTATAATAAAAGAACCAAAACAAAACGGGATAGACAACAGAACGTAAACCCACATTACATTGCTGTATATCAAAAAACAATTTTTGCTTATAAAATCCACTTACATTGCAAGAAGGTCCACCGCCGATCAATTGTTTCCTTGGCACTCTGCAAGTGGAGAATCCCCTTGGCATTGGCACGTCGGAGTTGCTCGAGAGTATGTTCATGAGAACGGCGAAAGCCTCCGACTCGGTGAGCAATGTGGAGCGGGCGGGACCCTCGGCGAATTGTTGGGGCGTCAACGTGAGGAACCGGATTTTCTCTATGGCGCTACGTATCGTCGTAATTGGTTTCTCTTTACATTCCGCTGAAAATGCACACACTTATTGTTTTACTCCTACATTAAGACATCATCATCCTGCCCTTATACAATTATTTGTGTGTCACACAAATAATTGTCTTGTGTGAGGAGTGGGAATCGAACCGAGGAACTTCGGCGCCGAAGCCAATAACATACAAACCGGGCCACCGGGCTATTTAGATTTTATCTATTTATAAAGATCTATTTATAAAGACTTTGGTACTGAAAATAATTAATTTTGCATAGTGTTTATTTAGTTATGGCAAGAAATAACATTTTGATTTAAGAGGGGGTCCGATAAGTACTTAGCAATCGCAAGAGAAATTTAGTATCGTGTACGAGTAATAGGTACATCCTCGGAGTCGGCCACTGTTAAAATGCCAGCCTAATCGCGAATTTTTTGAATAATTGGAATATCGGTCGTTGATTCGATTCATGTTTTTGAAAGGGAAATCGCGCGGCGAATGCAAGGCGTAATGAGTTTCTACGTTGTCGCGCGTCGGTTTTCGATGAGCCAATTCCACGAGCCCCGAAAACGGCTACCGTGAAGGATAACGCGGCAAAAGTCCACAATATCGTATTGGCAGACCGCTGATTGAAGGTGCGCGAGACAGAGAAAGCTGAGACAGTATCTCATATAGCTGAGACATCTCAAATGACCGCGCGGGTCGTAACCCGCATGAAACATTGGGCATGAGGAAGGCGCCGGCGTGATGGGTGCCGCGTCTGTTCACTCCGGACGACAAGAGCAAGCGTGAGACCATTACGGAGCAGTGTTGGACGCTGTTTAAGCGCAATCAAATGAAATCATTGTATATTTTTTTCACATAGACGCTTGCGCGTTCTTATGACACGTCTAAATTTTACATAAAAATTAATACGTTTGTAAGTTAACACCGGTTCGGAAAGCAGTTTCTGTTGAGAAGAAACCGGCAGGAAACTCCACAGTTGCTCTTTTTATTTATTATAGTTTACAATACAATACAATACAATAATACTATAATACAATACAATATTATTAGTTTACAATATAATAGGACTGGTATAAGTCTTATTTTACCCTGTGTGAGTATCTACAGTATTAACCCCACACATTGGCGTCGTATAGATATTCCGCAATAGTATAATATTAGCCATAAGTTCCGAAGGAGTTTCTGCATCGTTTCGTGACCGTCGACGAAACATGGATCCACTGGAAAAGTGAACAGGCGAACGTGCTCCGAAGAGGGCGAAGACTTTCCTATCAGCCTGAAGGTGATGGATTGCCACGGTTTTCTGAGATTCATAGACCGTGTGATCTAGATCGATACCTGGAGAAGGGCAAAGCGATCGCAGCGCTCTACTACGCCGAATTCTTGGGTCTCTACTAAGTTTATAAATTACCAACCTTTTGCCTTTTTAGGCTCTTCGGGTTGAGAGGCTGGTTCTGTGACAACCTCAGGCTGTTCAGGTTCATTAGTTCTGCAAGGCTCCATGATGGCTTCGGGACTGTTTTCAGCACTGCTATCAACATTAACCACTTTTGGTTCTATAGTCACTTCACTAGCACCCTGTGAAAAGTTTGAGTTGTGGTAGATACAAAAATCAAGAAATTTGGTTTTAAAAAGTGACAAGTAAACACAACTAGTTATATACATAAAAAAGTGTTATAAAAATATAAAGGGCATACAAAATAATTATAATGAAAAAGCAAAAATTGAAAAAAAAAACTTATTTACTGTTATTCTCCCCTTGTTTTTGTTAAATTGATCAAATATATTATTATTAGATTTTAAAAAACTGTCAAATAACTGTCAAAAATCAAATGCGGTTGGTTGTGATTACATTGGCCGACGCATGATTATTCCTATCCTTGATTACCTCCTTCCAGCTATCACCCACATCATTAATTTCTCTCTAGATTCTGGACATTTTCCCACTATATGGCGTAAAGCTTTTGTCCGTCCACTCCCAAAGTGCTCCAATCCCTCAGATCCCGCCCATTATCGACCTATTTCTATTCTGCCCTTTCTTTCCAAGGTACTTGAGTCTTGTGTGCTCAAGCAATTTTCTCGTTTCATACTTAATCATAACTTGATAAGTCCATTGCAATCCGGGTTTAGACCTGGTCACAATACCACTACAGCACTCCTTAATGTCACTGGGGATATTAGAACTGGCATGGTAGGACGGTAAGACGACTGTTATGGTCCTTATCGACTTTTCCAATGCTTTTAATACCGTCAGTCATGATATCCTTTTATCTATCCTTTCCTATAATATGGTTTCTGATGAAGTACTGATATGGTTCTCATCCTATCTTCGAGGGCGCTAGCAATCAGTTAATGTCGGTGAATCCTCATCATGTTGGCTTAATCTTGTTGCTGGTGTTCCTCAAGGCGGTATACTCTCTCCTATCCTATTTTCTGTATTTATAAATCTCTTATCCCACGATCTTCAATGTGCGTATCATCTTTACGCTGATGACTTGCAGCTATATGCCCAGACAACTCTCGATAGCCTCGAAGAAGCTATTTCTAAGGTTAACCGGGATTTAGTTGCTATTAAAAATTGGTCTGATAGCTTTGGGTTAACCGTTAGTCCATCTAAATGCCAAGCCATTATCATCGGAAGTAGTCATAATATCAGAAAAGTGGATCTTGGCTGTCTTCCACAAATAATTTACGATAACTCTCCTATTCCTGTTAGCCAAAACGTGAAGAACCTCGGTTTGATCATTAATATGACACTGAGCTGGCATGACCAAATAAAAAGTGTCAGTCAAAGAGTCACTGGTTCCTTGCGCTGTCTCTATAGACTTAAGAACTTTTTACCAATTAAAATGAAAATAATGCTTGTGCAGGCCTTGATTTTTCCCTTAATCGACTATGGTGATGTGTGCTACTTTGACCTGAATGCAGATCAACTCAATAAACTCGACCGACTTCTGAATAACTGCATTCGATTCGTCTTCAATCTTCGTAAATACGATCATGTGTCGGTATACCGTTCTCAACTGCAGTTGTTACCGATTCGCCAACGACGTTCTTTAAGAGCACTAACCGCTCTTTATTCTTTTATTGATTCTCCCTTTACCCCATCTTATCTATCTCCTCACTTTCAATATCTCTCTTCTAAAAACGATAAAAACCTTCGCTCGACCAATAATTGTCTTTTACTATGCCCTCCTCATTGTTCAAACTTCTTACACTCTTTCTTTTTTTATTCAGTCCATTCTTTTGTGGAATGCATTACCTCTCGAAATCAGGTTGGCCAAGAGCCGCTATTCTTTTAAAAGCAAAGTTCGTGAGCATTTGCTTAAACAACTGTTAGCAGAATCAGTTCGTCCTTTATTTTATATATTATTATATTACATTTATTTTTATGGTATATGTTACATTGTGGATATATATATTATATATATGTATGTATGTGTATGTATATATATATATACATGTACACCCTAAGGTTGACTGGTAGAAAATGCTTTTGGCATTAAGTCCGCCTTTGTACTAGATTGTGCATAAAGTGTAAATAAATAAATAAATAAATACTATAAGGAATAGATAAAATTAACTTCTAATCAATAATAATTTGTGATAACTTTTAATGGGTCAATTATAATCAAACAATGTTAAAAACTTATAATTCCTAATAGATATCCAAAAGGGAGTATAATCCTATCTCAAAGTCTAATAAAAAGGAACGGAGTCTCGGAAACGGCTCCAGCGATTTTCATGAAATTTTGTATTTGCGTAGATTCGGGGGCGAAAAATCGATCTGACTAGGTTTCATTTTTAGAAAATGTCGTTTTATCCCAGTTTTCAGGGAATGAAAAATATTATTCGAATACGACGGTAAATTTCACCGAAAAAAAAAATATATCATAGAATATTATGAATAATAGAAAATAAAATAGATCGTAAAATATTATGCATATTTCATTACTCAGTAATTTGTATCTAAATGTTATTCTCAAAATACACAATTTACCAAAAAAAAAAACAAACCAAGCAAAGCTCCTCGGTCCTCCGGGTACTGAGTACTTAAATAAGCATTTATGTGTTAGACAATTGATGTGTTGTGTGAACCTAGCACATTACATCTTTGTGCATACTTGTTTTATAATAATTTCTGACATTTTACAGTCTAACAGCTTTTGCTATACCTACTTGATCATTTGAAGTAGAAGGTGCCGGGCTTTTTTGATTCTCTATAACCTCTGTTGGTGGACTGACACTTCTTTCAGACATTCTCTTGTCTAAAGCCTTAGCATATCTCACTGCTGCTTCAAACAAGTCAAGCTCACTGTCCACATTCAGATGGTCAAGAGAAAATACTGTAATCACTGTATTCAGTTCCACATCTTCAAAACTGCTGTCATTTAAAACTTCTTTTGTATTTGTACTTATTATCTGTTAAAAAAAATTAATGGATTACTTTTCACCGGTTGGCAGGATATCAAAATACTTAAAGCCTAGATATCAGCTGCTTACTTAATTAAAGAAAAGGTTAATTAATGCTGTTAGCTCAATAAAAAGGCAATTTCTTTACCTGTATGCATTTTTCCATAAGTACATTTTCTTCAAACAACCTTGCAAACTCATATGCTCTGCACGCATTCTTTGGGTACAGGTCTGACCAAAGATATCTTGTGCACTCTTTTACTAGATGTGGCAGCATGTACTTCTTCGCTCCGTAGCAGAGTTCACAGGCTTTATCAAAAGAACTAATATTTATGTTCCCTGTATAGATATATCTACAATAGAAAATTAAGAATTTTAAAAGATGACAAAATTTTGATAAGTATAAGATGTTGAATCAGTGTCTTTAATTATTTAGTTAACAAGATGACTTAGGGCTATTGTTTATAATTAGCCAAGAGTTATAAATAGTAATTAAAGGGAAGAGACTATAGATATAAAGAACATAATATACATACTCCAGCAGTGCTTTGAATGCATCAATTTGCACATCCAAAATAGGTATAGGATCGTTTCTTTCCGCCATACCACCATAGAACATTGCTTCAAACACGGGAGATGACATCGCCAAAATCAATTTGTGGCCGGCTATAACAACTTGATGAGGTTCTGTGCCCACTAAAAAAGTACAGTCGGACCATTGCCCAGATTGCAGGAGATATGCACCCCTTTGTTTTAATTCCGTACATTCCAATTGCCAGTCGCTCATTTTGCAAGAGTTCTTAATGAAATGTCAAAATAGAAGAACATACAGGACTTAATGTATCATAAATTTTTAAGAGAATGGAGAAAAATGTTTATTTTTGAATACAAATAAATACTCCCTTTGACTTTGACATCAAGCTGTCAAACTGTCACAACCGTCAGTGTCAGACAGGATCACAGGACATAATTATACATTATTTATTTTACCAGTCAACAGACTAAAATATTTTATTTGTGCAGGTTTTTTTATGTTAGCTGCTATTAGCCTGGTGGTTTTGGCAGCTTCGTTGGAAGAGGAGAGAACTCAGAAGAACAACAACATAATAAATGTACATGAGTTCGTGGTACTTACCCGGACGAGCCTACACATTCGTGTAACAGCCTAGGCTGTTGCGTGGCCCTTCCACCGTAAAACCACCACTTAAAATGTAGCACCGTACCATCTCGTAATACTCACGGTTCTAATAACTGCATTGTTGTTTCGACATCGTAAGAGATAAGCAAATCTAAAAATAGCACGCGCGACCTTAATAAGGTCACGGTCAAATTGAAAATAATGAAGGGCTAAGGACAGCGGCCGCATAGAGCGGTCGCCGCGCAAGGGAAGGGAACGAAGTTTTATGACGCAACGATTTGGACGCCGCCGTGCCCGCACGGGTCGTCTCCAATTTATCGAGAGCGCTTAGTTTTGTTTGTGTGCGTGCACAGTAAAATGTAGGTACTTATGAATGACTACCGCATTTTCCACAAGTTCTGTTCTTTAGGGAATAGAATGAGTTTATTTAAAAAAAAAAGTTCGATTTTATTTCAATAAACGATTATACTACCGAGTCTTAACATCCTGTGTAAATTCGTCCACCTTTCGACCTTGCACCCTGTATATGTTTCCTTCCATGTATCCAAGGGAAGCTCGGCCCTACCCACATCGGAGGGCCCAAACCCGTGGGTTCTGGCTAGCCCACCGGTTCTGCGTCAGATGAAGCTTTAATAGTCTCGGGACTGAAAGCAAAAACATCAGTTAATACAAGATACAAGACAAGGGAAGGAGCAGACAAGAGCAATAAACAAACACAAAATTTGAACTTAATTTATATTCTGTATCACAAATTATGTAAATGACTCACTCACGTATTCCGCAAGGAATTTATTATATCTTCATTTATTAAAATTATTGACCCATTTGACCAGTGTAAAACTTCATCTAAAACTCTTTTAGCAGACAAATTAATGTTATACAACGTTAACACTGTAATTGCTGTGACATACGAAACCATCCACACGAAGAGAGGGATCAACATTAATCGAGTAGCTATTTGTTTTCCTCTTTTCTTTTCTACTGCTAAGAGTCCTAACTCTTCAAAATGGTTTCTATCCATCTAAAAAATAATTACAAATGAGATCAATCGCACCACTATTTGTGGTTTTTATGCCGATATGTCTTAGAATTCTTATCAAAATAATATATTTCAAATTTTTAAATAGAGGTCATATTTTTCATTTATATGTAATGTAATTAGTATATAAAAATGGTACGTATAGTTGTTTACAATAAAGAAACAACCTTATTTTCATACATTGTACAAAAATCGAATTATAAAATAACTGAAAACAATGTAATAAACTACGTAATACATACTAAATAATTTAGACGTTACATTTTTGTATTGTACTCACGGAATTAGAGCAGCGGACAATTTCTCTAATAATGAGTAGTGGATTTGTCATTTCATCAAGTTTAAACAAATAAGTTTGGAGCAAAGCCTACGCACAATTTTAAGATTTAACTAATTTTCACCCATACTGTATAATTTTGCTTAATACAAAAATTAGCTACCGCATCACTTCTGATCGTTGATATATCACGGTTATGGGTGACATTAGGTTTATTATAGTTTGTATGTGCAAAGAGATTGTACAATACGAGGTAAAAATGTTAGTCGGCTTAAAGTTTATTAGATTTTAAAATTGTTTATTTGAAAACCTTATGTAGGGTGATTACCGCCTCCCATGTACACCTTTAACTACTGAGGAGTAACATTATCAATCTTAAAAAGTGGGCCCTATTTACTTCACTCATTAGACGAAACGCGATAGTATAATATTTTCACTTCCCATCGGTTTTCTGTGAGGACGTGGTACTTTCTCCGACGAGCACGGCCATTCGTTGATGTTGCTGCACCCTTCTACAGTTTGGATTTGGATAATCACGTTGATGGTCATTGGCAAAATGGCAAATTATATAATATTTGTCGGCGGTGATCAACAACAACATCAGCCTATCGCCGTTCACTGCTGAACGTAAGCCTCCCGCAATTTGAGCCAGGTGATTACCGTATTTATATCTCTCGAATGTTTTCTTTTACTACTATTCTTTGTAGTGTTTCTTTGAGGCACTTGAAACACTAAAAGAACAACTTAAACACTACAAGGGTTGTCTTCTTGATGGTTAATTTTAAGTTCTTACTCTGATTCGGTGCGGTTATGAATACAGAATTTATTTTATTATTTTATAAAAATCGGATACCAATCCTGTGACTGGAGCCGATCATATCGGTCGCCAAGCCACCAGTTGTTGCTAATGTCGCCAACGCTTTTTTACTTTAAAGTGGTTCACACAAATGTGGGGACCCATGTAAAAGGGCATCAAAATACATGAAAGGTATGGATTTGCTGCAATTATATGTACCGACACAGTACTTTAACATACGAATTCCGACTGTAAGTTGTCAGGACTATTTAAGTCGCTTTATTTGTCGCATCTTCGTTTGTCTTACACCGTCAAACGTTACACGTTCCGATACTTTGTCAAGGAAAAAAAAGTAGAAATGAAAAAAAAAAGAAAAGTTTATTGCACGAAAGATAGCAAAACCTTTCAAAACAGCAGTCTTACCTTAGACAATATATTTTAACGCTTATTCTAATAGACAAATTGGTATAATATGATATATAAAACGTTGATATCTTCATGTATGCAAAATGAATATAATGTTAAAAATGAGTTTGATTCATTATGATAAACAGTTGTTTTTTTTTATTTTGACGAATACGCTATAAGATATAAGCAATTATGAATTAATCAATTCTCCAATGAATTAATGTAAGTTGTGACATTATTTAACATACATATGAAATAAAATCTAGTTGTGACCATTGATCGCTGTTAAATCATCTTTTTGTCCATACGTCGACCGTGGTGCGATCTTTTCCCGCTCTTCGTTGCCCGCTAAAAATATTGCCAGTTGTTCCTGTAATAGATTATGAAGATAAAAATAAAATGTTTGAGTAAACTTTTATAAAAATTATTAGTTGAAGTTGTATATATATATATATATATATATATATATATATATATATATTACACACACTTTAAAAAATTTTATTTTACTCAAATTATAAGCAGAGCTGTGCCGTTACTTTTATGCATTTTATACCCACCAGATAAGTTTTGGAAGTGTCTTGCATCTGCAGCAAGAAGGCTTTCAATTTTATACGCCAATTACGGACCTCACTTATAGCAGTTTCCACGGGCAATGACTGCAAAACAGTTGAAAAACATAAAGTAATGGTTAATAGTACTGCTGCATATACATTTTAAAAGGTTTTTACTTTAATTAATGCGTCGGCTGCTGATGACAAATGTTTTGATAAGAGCGACATTCCCTGGCGCATATTCCTGCAAAAAATTTAAAAAATAAAATTAAGAGCAAATATACATTTTAAACATGAAATATAATAAACGTACCGATACGACAAGACCAGAAACAGAACTAAGTACTTTTTCAGTTTTCGTTTTACGAGAACGTTAAGAGCCATTGGCTTCGGCGCTTAGGGTCGTGGTTTCGATTCCCATACGGGACAAGTATTTGTGTGATCCACAGATCATTGTTCCGGATCTGGTTGGCTGTTCCAAAATTTACCTCGGGCAGACATGATGCACATGTTCCGCCAACCCCATTTTGGGAGTTTTGAGATGACTCCGTGGCGCAGTTGCCAAGGTATTTGGCTTCGGCGTCGAGGGTCGTGAGTTCGATTCCCACACGGGACAACTATTTGTGTGACCCACAGATAGTTGTTTCCCATCAAATTTATGTTTGTAAAACGCCCTTATAACACAGGATAATTTTATCCTAAAGTAAAGCTTTTTTTTAAGTTAAAATTAAAAAAAAAAAGCTTTACCTGGGCAGATCTGCGCGTGTGTAGTTGGCCAAATGCACTAGGCGACGGGCTGCCTCGCGTGCTAGTAGCACCAACAGTTCCTCGACGGTGGCGGGCCGTGCCTGGTTCTCTGGCTCTGGCTGGCTCAGCGATTCGTACAGCTCCTTGGCCTTTTTCCACGCGAGGACCGGGTCCGTCGCGATCTGGGAGCACAACAGACTGTCAAGACCGATCCGATTATACCAAACCGGAATTTCTGCGAGAAAAATACTAGGAATCTTCACTATATCAGTGTTTCGTCAATCGATATCGATTCGTCTAGATTTTGGGCAACATAAATTCTTTTTTCACCACTTGCTGCCTTGCTCTACGTGGACTGTTGCTTTAGTTATGATGAACGATCATCCTCATCAATGATCAGCGCCAAGTGAGTAAGGTAAACGGTGCCATCTCTTAAAGGCTGGCGATGAATCGTTCATGTTAAGTGAATACCCCAGTAGTTTTTCATTTAAAATCAGATTAATCGCTTGCCCGCATGTCACCTTCTCACTAGAAAGATGATTTGTTAATCACAGCCTCACCGTTTCATGTTTACGTGCCATTGTATTCGCATTTTCACGGGAGGTGATCTTTCGGCCATTTGTAATCAGGACTACTAACTATAATAACTGTTTCGAATTGTAATGTAGAATTAATACACGACATAAGAGAAAGAACATGGTAAAGAAAGGTTCTCGAGTGACTGCCTCGTATTGTTCATCGTAGTGTAGGACGACGCCTCCCACCCCCTCCACTAGAATGGAATGACGACCTGTGCAAGTGTGATTTAGGTTCGGCGGTGGACTCAAACAGGTTGAAATTTTGATACGACGAAAGGCGATAGGATTTACCCATTGGTCCATTAATCTTTTGAGGAGATCAACGTTTCTCACCAGTTCGGCGACGTAGACGAGGACGTGTATCTGTTCCTTGATGGCCTTCGCTTCCGCCAGCGCCTGCCTGGTGAGGCGGCGTTGCAGCTTCCTGCCGAGCCGCGCGCTGCGCTGCACCGCCTGCACTCCCGCCCCCGCACCGCCGACCACCAACGCCTCCTCGCTCTCGGCGCTGGTCACTACGATCAGCACTACGTTGTGACACAAAACTCACCCTCATTTTTGGTAGTTTCACGATTGTCTGAAGTGGGTTTACAGCCCAGTGCCTGGGCTATAAGCCCTTATCGCGGGCTGTAGATATGAGGGCCTATGGGACATATGTGGTCGTCTCAATTTTCTGGTGGGTGTAAGGTGAGGTTTAACAGGCGTGCGATACGTCGGACGAGTGAAAGATAAGCGATATCAATCACTAGTTTTCAGTTTATTGTTATTCCATTTAGTTGTTTGTTTATTATAAAAATTTGGTAAGTATTTTTTAATAAACAAACAACTATTCTAACGATTATATAGTTATGTATTTAACAGTTGATCGGATATGATCTATGGTCATATGAACCACATTTGACAAGCATGCGGTAACCACGTCACCCCGCGAGCACTGTGACACTGCAAGCATGCGTTAGCATCTACTATATCTGTGACTGCAAGCCACACCTTGTATGGGCTATCAGCTCACGAGCAGGGTGCAAAGTCCGAAAGACGCTACTTGTGAGTCCCAGACGTACGATAAGAGGCAAATGAAAACCGCGATTAAAATCCGTCATAATAGCCAGTTCTGGAATTATCAAAAAGAGAAAGCTCAAAAGTTCATAGAAGAGAAGTCTTAAAAATATGTAGCGTAAATAATTGACGGTAATGAAAATTATATACCATAGCATTATCTAGAAAAACGGCAAAAAAAACATGTCTTTTGAATGGGAGCCCCACGTAAATATTTTTTTATTCTGTTTTTTAGTATTATACATCATCTGTCTGTCAAATTTGAACTGTCTAACTTACAGATAGACAGACAGAGTAGTCTTAGTAAGAGGGCCCCGTTTTACCCTTTGGGTACGGAACTCTAATAAATGAATATAGTAATAAAATACGACGCAAAAATCTAGAGCTTCTGTAAACCTCAATTACGATGTAGTAGGTACAGTCGTGTATATTTATATTGTAAACTTAAATATTTACTACATGACGCTGCCACAAGATCCGGTTATAGGCCGTTATGACGTAAATTTACGCAATGACGCTACAAATGCATTGAAATCCCAGAAATAGACTGGCGGTGGTCCGATAGCGTTAATTAGACGTTCACCAGACGATGGGATCAAAGGTCCGAATTATTAGTCCGTATCGGGCGCGTGTACTGTACCACAGAGCAGAAATATTTCAACGATAACTTTACAGACAGATGACTTGGATATCTACTCAATTAATCCCTGTACAAAAATCAAATGTACAAAAGGTGGCCGCCGAGGGGGTTTTAGTGGGTAATTACCCAACATAACCCTGAAATCATGTAAAGTGTCGGGGTGTGTTCAAAGATCCCCCCGATACCAAAAAAAGGGGTGACGAGATGGCGTCCTCACCGTCGGTGGCATCCAGGCAGTCAGGTGGCAGGTACCTGTCGACGTATTTGTCGGCGGTGGTGAGGGCGCGCTCCAGGGCGGTTGCCGTCGCGTTGGTCACCGTCGTGCCCAACTGCTTCACCGAGTCGGCGCGCCTCACGACATACTGCCTGGTCTCTGAGTACAACTGTACGGAGCGAATTCCCCGTGGCATCATACTCTAATTTTAAATTAACGGCCACGATTGAGCCACACAACTTTTTAATTGAGAAGGTGGAAATATGGCATCATACTCTAACTTTAAATTAACGGCTACGATAGAGCTACACAACTTTTTTTTATTTGAGACGGTGGCACACATTCTCGCTGCCTGTGTGGTTCACCTGATGTTAAGTGAGAACCGCCGCCCATGGACGTTTGCAACACCCGTAGCATTGCAGATGCGTTGCCGCCTTTTAATAAAGTGGGAGCCGGCTACCTCACCAGAAGTATGACACTTCCACTTCACGCCGGTCTTCTTCGAGATCGTCGTACTTACCCGGATGGACCTGCTCATTCGTGCAACAGTCGAAGCTGTTTCGTAGCCCTACCACAGTTAAAATATTTATTCAGAAAAGGAATTGTTTTTCATTGGAATATGTAATAGTATATGTGAAAGACGCACCAGCCAGAGGCAGCACGTCATGTAGTCGGGCTACATACTTTATTAAAATTTTGCTAGATGAGGTTTATATCGTTAGTTAAACATTAAGAAATAATATTTTGAATAATAGCGACTGTAAAATGTCCGAGCAGGACATAGATTTTTATATTTCCTGCTCTGATTTCAGGTTTGTCAAGTTTAAACGCAACTAAAATCTTAAAATAGCTTTATTTAACAGCACGTGTATCTGTCTAAACTGCAGAAGATTCCGGAGATGGTATCGGATACAATAAATATTTCAGGACACATTATACAACGCTATTTAGTCAACCTAGGAAAGCTTGTATTAAGTATTTGGACTCGTAAACATATTACGAGTCTTGGCCGAATACTGAAACCTAAACATTAAGCAGCTCTTAGCGTTTATTTTAAGGTGCCTTTAAATATTTAAGTAACGTTTCAGTATTCGGCACTTAATTGTTGTAAGATAAGTTATATGTAGTAGTATGTGAGATATATTGGGGACTATAAATCCTTTCTTCCTTACTAATATTATAAACGTGAAAGTTTGTATGTATGGATGGATGTTTGTTACTCTTCTCACTCACGCAAAAACTACTGAATAGATTTTAATGAAACTTTACAATAATATAGCTTATAAATCAGAATAATATAATTATAAAGATATTGTGTGAATTGCTTGCTGAATATCCAAAATATAGGTACTGATAAGTGTCAACTAAGTAGGAAAAAATTCAGCCATCTGCAAGATATTCCTGTGTATAATAAAACACTCATTGATAATTCCCTTTGGCAGCGCGGGCGAAGCCGCGGTTAACAGCTAGTAAATCAATTAAATAGGTACTCACCGCCTGGGGCGGCAAATAGATGGAGGGAACTGTCTTCTCCACCACGTCCAGTGACTTGCAAAGTAACTTATCCAGTTGCTGGATGGGCGTCTCCAGCATTTGAACTGCTGGGAGCGCCAGCTGCACGCCCGTTGAGATCGAACGTTCACCCAGCGATAAGTACCAACGGATGAGCGGGTTCGACTCCTGTGAAGGATGTTTATTATTGTATTTTTATTTATACTTAGTTGCAACCTTTAAATAAAAAGATTACAAAAGAAGAAAGAAGAAATTGAAACGTTCCGATTCATAGCAGCGAAATTCTAGGTTTTTGGAACATACACTCCGTACTACATTTACTTAAAGCAATGTACTTCAATTGTTTGCACGTAGCACTTACTGTTAATTTTACAACTTCAAATATTCGTTATAAAAGCAGTAATAATAGCGTTATAAAAGCTAAGGGTATTACTTTTTTTTAAAAAATCCTTAATTGGCTCGCATGCTCTAAGAATGATAAGCGCAACTTATGAAATCTGTTGCTATTGGATTAAAAAAAAATTAAAGTAACAGCCTATAAATGGCCCACTGCTGGATAAAGGCCTCCTCTTTACAGAGGGTATATTGTCCACCACGCGACCCCCTGCGGATTGGTGGACTACACATATCTTCGACTTTTTTAATATTTCGCAAATATGCAGGTTCCTCATGGTAGTTTTATTTATTGCTAAGGCATGTGATAAATAAGCACTTAAAATTAACATTTTCATTGGTGCCGGCACCGGGGAGCTCGAGTTATTAAATTAAAAGTGAGCGCCCGGCCAATGAATCATCATGGTGCATTTGGATGGCGGATGTTGGATTACTGGGGAATGAATAAATAAAATATCAAAAGCTGGAATGTTATTGGTTTATTACTACTATTTAAGTTCTCGTTAGAAAGATCACGTCAAATCTGCACGAACAACAATACAGGTTATTTAAATAACTAAAATTCTAAATTGTGCTTTGTTCCAATAACAGACGATGGCGGACGAGCGGCCTGTTTTTGATATTAATTGAATGTTCACAGAATACAATATATCATTTGCAGTACATTGGGGTAGCCAGAAAGAGTGTGCTTTTAGTCTGACTTGTCTGTATTTTCAACCGACTTTAAAAACGGAGGAGGTTCTCAATTTGACTGTATTTTTTTTATGTTTGTGACCTCAGAACTTTCTACTGAGTGAGCCGATTTTGATGATTCTTTTTTATTTGAAAGCTGGCGCTTCCCATGTGGTCCCATATTAATTTCATTGGTATTGAGTCTTGGGCTCCGGAGATACGCAGAGAACTCTTGAAAATCCATTACGAAATGAATACAGAGCGAGATATTTGAAGTTGGTTTTGTTTTTCGTTAATAAAAAAATTTTGTTGTCAACAAATAACCCTTCGGTTGTCTTACTAGACGAAATGCAAATATAATCTATATAATCTTACGGTGGTAGAGCCACGCAACAGCCTCGGCTGTTGCACGAATGGGCAGGCTAGTCCGGGTAAGTACCACGACCTCACAGAAGACCGGCGTAAAGTGGAAGTATGACAAATACTTTCGCGTTTCGTCTGGTGAGTGAGGTAGCCGGAGCCCAATTTCCAAAAAGGTTCTCAACGCATCTGCAAACCCTCGGGTGTGGCAGATGTCTATGGGCGGCGGTATTCACTTAACATCAGGTGAACCGTCTGGTCGTTTGGCAACTTTTCACATAAAAAAAATATAAACGCACTCACAATTATTCATACCCGTCTTCCGCAGTACGTTCCCGGACAATCAAGCCTATGGCCAAGCTCCAGGCCAAGCAGCACGCTTCATGGTTCTACAGTATAAAACTGGCGAAGCTCTGATCACAGCATTGGTTTTATGTGCACACTTACTCTGACCCTAAAGTATATCCTTTCAGCCACATCGATGCCCGACTCGACGATAGGTATGGCGGCGACTCGCGAAACCGCCTCCAGATGCGGCAAACCGTTCTTCTGCTTTTCTTTAACGCACATCACTATATAAAACAAGATTCATTAGAATTGGAAAGAAATAAATGGGTAGTTGGTAAGGTTCTTGTCAATGGAGTTTTTTTTAAATATCTTTTTTGACAGGCTTATATTTGTTTCACCTGTTTGCATCCGGAACATCACTAGTAAGTATGTATGAATGTAACTTTGATAATTAATGTGATTTCGTCGCTCACTTTGAACGATCAGATATGAATCAAACTTCCACACTCGTCAAAGTACCATAACAATGTAATAGTTTTTCCCAATTCCTGATCAGGACTTTCAGGATTAGCTGTTTTCCAAATCTGATACACAGTAGTGTCCTTGTGCCAATTACGTATTTAGAAAATTACGAAAAAAAAAATACAAAATACGCTTTTATACTTAGAAGAACTAAAAAGTAGAAAATAATTTAATAATTTAATAAACTATTTCTACGTTTTAGTTCGGTTAACTACAAAAGTTAAGTGGGCACCGGCTCCCTCGAAACCACCAGACGAAATGCAGAATTATAACACTTCTAGTTTACGTGGGTCTACTGTAAAGTCGTAGTACTTACCGTCCGGGACGGACCTGCCCATTGAATGGGCAGGTCCGTCCATTCATACGAATTACGTACAAACGCCTACGTCTAACGCAAAAGTCTGTTGAGAAGCCCTATATAAGTAACCTATTGACAAGATTTAGTAAAAACAATGCTCTGAAAACGGTTTGCTTTTCTTCCTCCTCTTTTTAAAAAAAATAATGTAAAGAGATTCCAGACGTCTCAAATTCTTGAAACTGCCCAATATCCCGATAGATAATACCTAATTACCAGTATCCATCGGAAATTATCTAGTAATTTATTAACTACCTAATGAGTATGTATTACTTCAATATTTACGTCAATATAATTATTGCTCTTGCGTTCTAATTATAATTGGCATTTAAGACATCAAATGTAACAAAACCTAATATACTCACAGATTTAATTTTATATTCTAGCAAACCGCTACCGTGTTGTATAACAGTTATTATTGTATGTTTTCGTAAAGATGACCCATGTCCATACTGCGCGTTGTAACAATTTTTTAAACATTGTTCCGTTTTCGCTTGAGCCGTGATAGCTCAGTGTCCGGGCGCTCGCCTTTAATCCAATATACTCGAGCAACCTGAGTTCGATCCCCGGTGCCGGCACCAATGAAGTTTTTAACTTTAAGTGCTTACTTATCACGTGCTCCGCGGTGAAGGAAAACATCGTGAAGAAACCTGCATATTTTCGAAATAATAACAAAAGAAATATTTCGAAGATATGTGAAGTCCGCCAATCCGCAGTGGGGCCGCGTGGTGGACTATGCCCTGATACCCTCTATATAGAGGAGGCCTTTGCCCAGCAGTGGGACATGTATAGGCTGTTACTTTACTTTACTTTACTTTTGTTCCGCTTTACATTATACGACATATATAAGTGAATGTGACGGATGATACAAAACGTATCACGGAAAGAGATAGCACATAGATAGATAGCACTCACACTCATATAACTGCAATCTAATTACACTCATTCGCTTAATTTGAGTGCGCAATTTCGGTGCGCTGGCTGGTATAATATTTATAGGCCAATAAAAAAGTAGTTTTCTTTCGGAACACACTGTTTTCGCCTAAACCCGAAAGTGCTTTCGAAACTTCTACGGATGTACGAAAGTTTATCGCGGTAATGCTGTAATGCATGTAAAAGATTCGTACATTTTTGTACAAATGTTAATGTTTCATCTTAAGTCCAGAGACTAGCACTATAAAAACAAAATAATAAAATTTCAATTTCAATAGCAAACGTTATTTGAAACTGTTTGTCCGCTTTAAAGGACATAACAATAGACACGCCAAGCATTTCTTAAAGTGTTCAAAAATAATGTAGATAAAGTACGTTGAGATTATCCTTAGCGTTGTAATGGACCGTTTAACATAGTGGTTAAAGCACCTGGGCGCGATTCCGGAAGACGCGAATTCGGTTCCCGCGTCGTCGAAAAAATTATCGTACATTTTTCTACAAATTTCATTAAAAGACATAAGATAACTGTGTTTGAAGATAATTAAAATGAAAAATAAAAAAAGATTTTTGAAAACAATTGTAATAAATTATCATTTAAATACGAACTAGTTTTTGTCCCAGCCGTACATTTATAGCCTGGCCATAACTATTAGATTATCTTCATCTAGCATGCGCTAAAAAGAGACAGAGAGCGTGAGTCGCCGAGGGTTTAAGCCGAGGGTGTAACTTTGTTTTCTTACGTGATGATTTACGTTAACTCGTTGCAAAACTATTAAACGACTTTTTCTCATATACCTACACACTGCCTCGTATTTTTATCTTGATAATTTTGAAACAGTTTTAGATTATTCTTACATGGGAGATGGTGTATGGAGTCATGTGAATTAAGGAATAGAGATTTATTGAATGTTCCTAACCATGGTAGCTAGTTTCTTTTTTGTTGTATTTAATTAAATTAAAATAAATTAATTAAAATGAAAATCGTACCGTTCACTGGTTCTTCGGGAGTGATACTGGCAGCTTTAATATTTGTCTTTGTTTTCTTATTATTGGCCTCATCATTTTGTTTAATCTTTCCAAAATTTCCATATGTTCCATTGAAGGACTTCTTATGGGCGTTACCGTTTTCCGTCATTTTGCTTTTTACTTTTACTTGCGATGGATATTTGTACATTCGAATTAAAAAAAATATTCGAGACACAAGATATCTGTGTATTAACACCTCCGCGAATGATTTGTCCACGACGCACCAGAGTGACATATAAGAAAGGTTATCTTCTTGTTTAAAATATGTAAATCAATAAATTATATATTTGATATGGTTAATGCCACACAAATTATTTGTCCAGGCCAGGACTGTAATTAAAAATAACAATTTTCTTAAGATATTCGTAAATTTCGTTTTGATTTTTTTAAATATTTCACATTCAGTATTTATAATATTTATTTTCATTCTAAGTATATTTTGCATGGAATATAGGAAGTTGCGATGCTACGATGCCGGAGGTTCAATTTCGGCAAAGTGCAGTTCGCAGAGCACTCTTTTCCTTGGACATTCATAAGTCGAGTGGGCCCGATGGCATCCCTCCGATCGTGTTGAAGACATGTGCTCCAGAGTTGGCACCGGTTTTGACGCGTCTTTTCCGGCTCTCCTATACACTAGGCGTATTCCCGAAAACCTAGAAGGCCGCTTTCAAGGTCGGTCGTCGTCGACGGTGCATGCTCTGATCCTAAATTTGTCCGTTTGTAATGCTGGTGTTCCACAAGGCTGCGTACTGTCCCCCACTTTGTTTCTTCTGCATATCAATGATATGTTGCAAATCAGCAGCGTTCATTGCTATGCGGATGATAGCACTGTGGATATTTCGTACACAGGCCGTGCTAACATTTCTCGGGAAAACGTCTACGAGAGCCGGAACAAACTTGTGTCTGAAGTCGAAAAGTCTCAAACTGGGGTCGACTAAATTTAGCCCAATTCAACCCCGATAAGACACAAGTTTGCGCGTTAACCGCTAAAAAGTCCCCATTTGTCGTGACGTCATTTTGAGAACACTCCCCTGTCTGTCACAGCTAGTATCGGAATACTTGGCGTCGAAATCTCGAGCAATGTCCAGTTCTGCGGTCAATTGGAAAGTAAGGCCAAATTGGCCTCAAAGAAGCTCGGTGTGCTCAGCAAGGCGAGACAGTACTTCACGTCGGCTCAACGCCTAAACCTTTATAAGGCGCAAATTCGGCCCCACATGGAGTACTGCTCTCACCTCTGGGCGGGAGCCCCCTGTTACCAGCTTCTTCCATTTGACCGCATCCAACGTAGGGCAGCTAGGGTTATCGACGATCAAGGTCTTTCCGATCAGCTTGATCCTTTGGCTATGCGTAGAGATGTTGGGTCACTCTGCATCTTCTACCGCATCTATCACGGGGAGTGTTCCGAGGAATTGTTTGGACTGATCCCAGCGGCTGAATTTCACCATCGGACATCGCGCCAAAACCAAAAATTTCATCCACACCACCTCGATGTCCAGCGTTCCACAACAGCGCGATTTTCAAGGCATTTCCTGCCTCGCACAACCACTCTGTGGAACCAGCTGCCGCCGGCGGTCTTTCCGAACCGTTACGACCTGGGAACCTTCAAGAAGAGAGCGTACTCATTCCTAAAAGGCCGGCAACGCATTTGTAAGCCCTCGGGTGTTGCAGATGTCCATGGGCGGCGGTGATCACTTACCATATATATAATATTAGACGTTACAGCGTCACTATGACCGTGTTTTATGCGATTGTCTTATTATAAGCTGGTAGTAGCCATCTTTAAAAAGCGTTTTTTTTATGATTAACCTATACTAATGGCGACCTCTTGGTGATTGCAACAAGATGTCGCAATTAGTACCTATAGGTCATTATTGAATGAGAAGCAATTATATAATATGTGGTTATAGGTAACGTCTCCGCCAGGAAATGTCTTGGATATTCTTCTTTGATTTGAATTCGAAAAACGTCTAAAAGAAACATTGCTCGTGTTTTTGTGGGAACTTTTATTTTCAACCGACCTCAATAAGGTTCTCAATTCGGTTGTTTTGTTGTTTTTTATGTTTGCTAACTTAAGAATCAGTTATTTATGAACAAATATTCAAAATTCTTTTTGTATTTGGTTCGGCTTAGCTCCCATGTGGTCCCTCATTGATTTCATAGGAATTATACATTAAACTCCGGAGATACATCAGGGAACACTTTAAAATCAAATAGATAACGTATATTGAGTGAGATATTTCAAGTCGGTTTTTATTCTTTTGTTGATATAAATATATTTGCTAAAAATTATCTTCACTTCATGTTGAATGAAGGTAAATTAAGAGGGAAAGTATCACGAATCGACCTTGTTTTCTAATTACAATTTTGATATGCGTATGTAAAACGTAAGAAAACCGTTGGTTGTCTTTAATTTATAAAAATACTAGCGTCCCTCCCCGGCTTCGCACGGGTGCAATGTATTATACATTTGAACCTTCCTCTTGAATCACTTTACCACGTAAAAAAAACCGCACCAAGATCCGTTGTATAGTTTTAAAGATATAAGCTTATATAAGGACAGACAGACAGCGGGACGACTTTGTTTTGTTATACTATGTAGTGATGCACAGCAAAGAGACGTTTACATTTCAAGTGACATTTTACCACAGTCACTCACTTGTTTTGCCTTCCCGGAACCCCTTCACTAACACTTAAACTTTATGGTATGGTATTAAATTTTAAATTGACTTTCTAAGTATTATTACGAATCTTTTGTACGGGAAAATAGAAGTGTTGTGACTGGACTTTTTCAGGCAATTTTTTAATTTTTTTCTTTAACCTTCAGGTATATTCGACGAGAAGTTTGGCCGAAGTTTCCCGAACGCTGCCCATCCGAGTTGAATTCGTCGATTGACCTCTCCGTCGAAGTTGGACATACCTAGTCGGACTAACTGTCCTAGGTAAACGTACTCGTCAACAACTTCGAGCTCAGTGCTCCCAACAACAACCGGTATAGGCGTGACATGGACATTAGACATGATCTTCGTCTTGTCCATGTTCATCTTTAAGGCTCACCCGTTGGGAGACACTGTTGAGGTCACTGAGCATAGTACCTCAGGTCCTCCTGCGATTCGGCCACGATGACTATATGGGAGACACTGTTGAGGTCATTGAGCATAGTACCAAGGTCCTCCAGCGATTCTGCCATGATGACTATATCGTCGGCAAATCGAAGGTGGGTGATGTATTCGCCATTGATGTTAATACCTCGTCCTTTCCAGTCCAGAAGCTTGAAAACATCTTCCAACGCAGCGGTGAAGAGTTTCGGGGATATGACATCATCCTGTCTTACACCCTTCTGCAGTTGGATAGGTTTTGTACTACTGAACTGTTCTTGGACGGACATCGTAGCCTTGTTATACAAACACCTCAGCACCTCGAAATAACGACAGTCAATTTGGCACCGCTGAAGAGCCTGGAGTACCGCCCAAATTTCGACAGAATCGAAGGCTTTCTCATAGTCCACATACGCTAGGCACAAAGGCAGATTATACTCTTCGGTCTTCTGTATAATCTGCCGCAAGGTGTGTATGTGGTTACTGAAACTTTTTCTGAATCCAGCTTGTTCGGGAGGCTGGAAGTCGTCGAGTCTGGAAGCGAGACGATTCAAGATGACTCTTGAGAGCAGCACATATTTTTTTTTTTTATGTGAAAAGTTGCCAAACGAGCAGACGGTTCACCTGATGGTAAGTGAATACCGCCGCCCATGGACATCTGCTACACCCGAGGGTTACAGATGCGTTGACAACCTTTTGAAAATTGGGCTCCGGCTACCTCACTCACCAGACGAAACGCGAAAGTATTTGTCATACTTCCACTTTACGCTCGTCTTCTGTGAGGTCGTAGTACTTACCCGGACGGGTCTGCCCATTCGTGCAACAGCCGAGGCTGTTGCGAGGCCCTACCACCGTTTTTTTTTTATTTACATATAAGATTTAGAATAAATATTTTAACTTAAGTATTAGAAATCAATAATAGTTATTCAAATTCTATTCGAATTCATTATTATTAACGAAACTTATATATTTGTAAACATTAATGTTATTAATTAGACATTAAAAATAAGGAACGTTACTAATCAGCAACATGAGTAATGTCTTTACTTTTTGAAAGCTTGTTCAATATGTACTAAAAATTAATACGATAATTAAGCGAAGTAGAAATATAACGCAATTATGTTTTTGCGTTAAAAAATTGTATTAGGATATTTTCTATATTTTCACAATGTTTAACACTTTATTTTTTTAAATCACTGGTCAAACTATTTTTTTTAATCTTTATTTTTAGAAACGGGGTTGTCACACAGTGACTATAACACCCCCATTTAATAATCCCAACAGTTAACCTGCTGGTACGTAACGGTAATACAAAAATTGTTCATGTCCCTGCCTGCACTATCCCCTCAATGAAGAGATCGGTGCACCCCTCAATATAAACGCTACCCGTAAATACAATTTAATTCGCATTCTGGCCTCTTCGGAGTTTAACAATTTAAAGTGAAGTATTTTAAAAAGTGTGACAATTTAAAAGTTGTTCAACGGAGCGCGTGTAACAATGGCGCGCCCGCCCGATCATTTTTTCCTTTGTATAGACGAGAAAACAAACCTTTACATAATAAACAAATTGTAGTCCAACCTGATTTTTTATAAAAGTATATGCATTAATGTATACAAATATGAATTAATTTGGCACGCAAAAACATCCATATCATGAGTTTTGTCGGTTATCTGACATTTCACCCTTTTCACACATCGTTAAACTTTGACACTGACAAAAAATATGGAGTGTTGCATTCGTTCTCTTAATTGCGCACTTACGAAAATTATTTTAATTAAATAGTATCTCAATACAAATATTACAAATAGGTATAATTCGTTTGTTTGCTGTCCCGACTTAGGATTTATTTATGAGATGGTACATGGGACATTCAAAGTCAAAATTTATATTCAGTATAGGCTTAATTTTATCTCTTACTGAACGTACTGAATGTACTAACCTGCAATATTGTAATCTCTTTTTTCAATCATTGTCCCTCAACGACAGCTTCAATAATTGTCGGGTTAGAAATGC